GATCTTAGAATGCGTTTGCTGTCTGGATCACCTTGGCTTGGACGTGGAGCCGGCCCTCTCTGCCATACCATCATCTGTGTACAGTGGAAGGTGTTCTTTCCATCTAACGTTGCCTCTAGTACGTCAATGTTGTCACAGGAACAGTGGATCATCCTCTCTTTGACGATGTTGTCTGGAATGTAAACATTGCCATTTTCTGCAAATCTCTCCAAAATGTTATTGGCTATAGTTGTGTCAATTCTTCGCACAGTGTCGATACCAATGGTATGGTTGGCTGCATGGAACAAGTCAACGAGTGCCTCAGAACGTGTAGCTTGGTGAAGAGCAAGACCTAAGCCAACATGCTTTGGCGTCAACTTCCGTTTGTTTGAAACTGCATAAACAATATCCTGGGCAATGCTACACACAGTTTGCTTAACAGTGTTGTCTTCCTCGATGCCCGAATGCACCACATCTATGCCTCCAAACAACAAGCGAAGAAAAAGATACAGGCTGTTAGGGATCACTTCATCGACATGTTCTTGATCAAGTTCTTGCCAGGTGTCACTATGTCCTGGGGTGTCAAGCAAATCTTGTCTGATTCTGAGGGCCACATGAACCATCTCTTGAAAGATATTACCTTGTGCAATCTTTATCGTTGCACCATCTTCATCCTCAGTTGATTCTGAATCTGATGAAAATGCTACTTGTTGACGACACTTTGTCAGGGTCTTGGATATTATGAAGTCTGATTTTTCACCAGGATACATTAGAAGAGATCCTGTCTCGAGGGTCCGCACGTAGTTGGCCTTTTGTCCAACCAGCAGTTGAACCTTTTCGTAGAAGGTTGTTCTCCTGGACAGATATCTCACAGGCACACAGGTGCCCCTTTCATTGCACATAGTCTCATATCTATCCCATACATCACCCATGCTATACACATGACCTCGGGACAGCCCTGCACCCACATCTCTACACAGCTTCAACATGCAGTCATCCACCTCAGGTTCCCGGGGATCTGTTGATGATTTTACTTTTGAAGATCTTCTCTCAAATACTCTCAAGCATGCAAGATGGTAACAACCTTCAGCTGCGATCAAGTCACTGACTCCTGATAGTCTTATAGACATTACTGGATCACTTTTGGCACGTTCAATCAAGTCAGCAGACTTTTCCAGTGTCTGTACGTTGTGGATCTTTCTGTTACCCTTTTCTTGGCAGAACATGCAGAGTGACCAGTCAATTGCTGATTTAGAACTTCGTGTAGTAGGCGCTGAGGAAGTGCTTGTGGATGGGTCTGATGCAGCACTTGTTGATGCTTCTGGTTGTGATGGCTGGCGTTGCTTTCTTAATCTGCTTAATTTACTCTCAGAGGTGAAGGAAGAATAGCAGGTTTTGTGCCATCTGATTTCCAGTGCATACAAGTCATCCTGTGAAAGGCTCTGTAGTCTGTGTAACACATCTACATAGCTAGTATCACCAAGTTTTAGTCGTTCCTGGCCAACAGTCTGAGCCCTGGCCTTTCCATCTGATGATGCTGTGCGGAGATCCCCAGCGCTACTCTGGCAGAAGAAGCATGCCGATTTATCAAAGTCTTTAGGTTGTCTCTTGCGCTTGATGGTGTAAACTGGATCCATGGCTATTGCAATGGCTATTGCATATAAATTTGGGGTGTATCTACATGGTGAATTGGGCTTGATTCTGTAAACAAAAACATAGATGATTTTCAATCAAGAGGGAGGCGAATATGGCTATTCAAAGATCCACAAATAATGCAAAATGAATTGCAATAGACATTATGCATTGTTTTTTTATGTAGGCCTACATCATTTATTAAATAACAAGCAATAACTATTTCAAGTTTCATGTATTTAACTGGCTCTCAAACAAATACCACCGGAGAAACGTCATCTCCATATATGGACAAAGGCAAGATTTTTCAGTGTGTTTGTTTAACTATAATTGGCATTGGATGTGAAAAGGATTTAATTTAAGATATCAACAATGCCACATAATAGTAAGCCAGTTCAACAAACTGGTAACAACACTTTCAGTCTGTGTGGCCAGTACGGTATGTAAGTTCTCTGAAGTCTCCAGGGCTAGGCAAGAAAACCACTTATCAAGATAACATTACTCCAACTCAAGGCTAATGGGACCACCCCATGTGCACAGGCCACTGTGCTAGTCAACTGCTCCATGACTGCACTTACATTAACCCATTCATTTTTTTCTTGTTTATTGCACCTCATGATTGCACTCACATTATAACACTGCTTTCAATAAAATATGCATGCACAATTATTGTTCCACATAAGCTTGCTACCTACAGATATATCCATTATTCCAAGTGCCTTGGTTCGAGAAATAGGCAAACTTGACATGCATGTACTTGGAATCTAAAAGATGTAGTGTATATTTGACAATTCAGACACTTGGTCAACTGTTCTAAAATTCTAATCAAAATACTAAACTACATACTCAATCTTCAATTCAACAAATGGTGATTGTGGATAATATAGTCATACATGTATTCATCATTAAACCTGAACAAAGTAAATCTTGTTACAATTTAAAAAGCAAAATACAAGAGTGAAAAGTTTGAAAAGGGATTAATACCAAGTCATCCATCATCTTCGTAAAAGCACTATGCTAATGTGAAAAACATACAACTTGAAACCTACAAATCAAAAGAAAGGAACTAGTACATACCTTGTATAGGGAAGGTCGAGTCTTGTGTGTAAAGATTAGATACATGTAGCTGATGTCTGGATACGTTGGCATTTGACTTGGAAGTGAGCAGCCTCAGTCTCACATACACTGTCCAGTCCGCCTTTGGCCCATACCAAAATTTAATAGGTGTAACCACAGAACAAGGATAACAAGTGTATAACATTACAATTAAACTGCATCTATCGTACACATACTGTACATGTATGTATATCAGTAAAACTTTCGATAAACCTGTCCAAACAATCTTGAAATAATCTTCACCTACATGTATCACAGGTCATGACACTCGCTTTCAACATTCTACACCTTGCGGTAGAATGGTATCTCCAACCCACTGCAACAAACACGTGAACTGTTTCACAACAAGAAGAGATTAACCAGTGTTTATTGAATATTTAGGTTAAACAATGCAAGGGTAGTGCATTGTGTTAGCAGGATTCTGAGAACTGTTCTATATACTGGTATAGGAAGATTAAGCATGTAGATACACACTTGAAGGAAATCACACTTTTGTGTTTCCTAATGCTATATAGTTGTGTGTTAAAATGAAAGTTTATTAATGAATTTTACAAGCTGGGGATATGCACATGATAATGAAAATAGTTTTAGTGGATAGATCTATTAGTCTAGATAAAATTTGCTACATAATTAAAAAATGTGAAATTTGACCTCATTTGACCTCATTTGACCTTGAACAATAGAAATCTTGTATTTATTCTGAGATTATAGGGATTAGGGATTAATTCATATAAAACCTACAGAAGACACTAATGCTGTCAATGAATGTTCCATGTGACCAAGGTACATGTAAGTTGATGTTAAAAGAGTGGTGTTATGTCATGGGAACAGTCACGGTTGCGGGGCATTTGTGTTTGTAAACACACCTGACTTGTTTTTTAATGAAATTAAATATGAAAATGATATAAATGATAAATAGCCAAACAATAAAGGATGTGTTCAATCTAAAAATGCAATTTAAAAACCATATTCATAAAAAGAAATGTTTGAAAGGATTAGTGAGTATAAGACATAAACCTGAGAGAATTTTATTTTAAAACTGTAATTACAAACAAGGTAACTCGCATTTCTTGTTTGCCATAACCACATGATTTAAAAATTGAGGTACATGTATATGACACTTATTCAAGTTGGCCCTTGACATACTTGGGACATTGTTCAGTACGGAGCAGTAAAATGTGAGAGTCATTATGGAGAAACTCTGAAAATCGAACTTTGGGCATTAACATTGCAGGCAATACTGCTGCAAATCTGACTGTTTTGTTGAGTGTTGCATCTCTCCAGTGTGGACTCGTTGCCAACTGCAACATAACTTGATACAATCGTCTTGGAAGCACAACAGAAGAACATGCCTACCTTCAACTCCATGCAATATTGGAAGTTTGTTTGGACACTTGTTTGGGAGGACGATGCGTGTTTGGAAGGATGATGCTTGTTTGGAAGGACGATGCTTGTTTGGAAGGACGATGCATGTTTTGGAAGGACGATGCTTGTTTGGAAGGACGATGCTTGTTTGGAAGGACAATGCTTGTTTGGAAGGACGATGCTTGTTTGGAAGGACGATGTTTGTTTGGAAGGACGATGCGTGTTTGGGAAGGACGATGCCTGTTTGGAAGGACGATGTTTGTTTGGAAGGACGATGCTTGTTTGGAAGGACGATGCGTGTTTGGAAGGACGATGCGTGTTTGGAAGGACGATGCTTGTTTGGAAGAACGATGCTTGTTTGGAAGGACGATGCGTGTTTGGAAGGACGATGCGTGTTTGGAAGGACAATGCTTGTTTGGAAGGACGATGCTTGTTTGGAAGGACGATGCGTGTTTGGAAGGACGATGCTTGTTTGGAAGGACGATGCTTGTTTGGAAGGACGATGCTTGTTTGGAAGGACGATGCTTGTTTGGAAGGACGATGCTTGTTTGGAAGGACGATGCATGTTTGGAAGGACGATGCTTGTTTGGAAGGACGATGCTTGTTTGGAAGGACGATGCTTGTTTGGAAGGACGATGCTTGTTTGGAAGGACGATGCTTGTTTGGAAGGACGATGCTTGTTTGGAAGGACGATGCGTGTTCGGAAGGACGATGCGTGTTCGGAAGGACGATGCGTGTTCGGAAGGACGATGCGTGTTTGGAAGGACGATGCGTGTTTGGAAGGACGATGCGTGTTTGGAAGGACGATGCTTGTTTGGAAGGACGAGGTTTGTTTGGAAGGACGAGGTTTGTTTGGAAGGACGATGCTTGTTTGGAAGGACGATGCTTGTTTGGAAGGACGATGCGTGTTTGGAAGGACGATGCGTGTTTGGAAGGACGATGAGTGTTTGGAAGGACGATGCTTGTTTGGAAGGACCAACTGGAACTTTGAGGAACACTGCCTATTCTGATGTGGGAGACGTGGAATTCTGGTGACTTTCTGCTGTTGGGACAAGTGGAATGATTCTGGTGACTTTCTGGTGACTTTCTGATGTTGGGAGAAGTGGAATTCGCCATCCTCGCTACCTGTGGATGCCTGTATCACTCGGAAACCTCGGAGGTAACCCCCCCCCCCAAAAAAAATCATTGTTAATTGTCAGACACTTAAAAAGGATTTTGCTAATGCTATAGCAATGCATCATTTAACTGGGTTTGGGTTTGTTTCACAAATTAACACATGTTATGGGGCATGACACTATAGGTCATTCTAAAAACAGATTGGTTAAATAACCAATGTTGGTTAAAATGTATCCAACCAACCCGATTAGGTCCACACATATTAAAAAATTGTTGGTTAATTCAACCAATGATTGGTTATGTTACCAATCTGTTTTTAGAGTGTAAAAATGGCAGATATAATGAATCTGGTATTTAATAATTTCAGATTTTCATTATTTGGCCAAAGGCAATTCAAGGAAAATACTTCAAATTAAATGAACATTAATTTATTTGCATGGATTTTCTGCAGACGTGAACATGCACAAGAGACCCCCTGATTGTGAAAGTGTACAGTTTGCAAGTGGAGTTGTTCTGTAGATTGCTCGGAATCGTCGGCATAGGGGGACAAGGTTGCATGTTAACTGAGGTGAGGTAACCATTTTTTTTGCAGGGCCACATGCATTTGTCCCCCCCCCCGGATTGTGACAGTTTGCAAGTGGAGTCGTTCGTTGGATTGTTTGGAATCATCGGCGCAGGGGGAACAAGGTTGCATGTTAACTGAGGTGAGGTAACCATTTCCTTCGCAGCTCAAGGCCACATGCACTTGTTCCCCCGGATTGTGACAGTGGAGTCGTTCGTTTTGTTCAGAGTAAGTCAAACCATGATTCTTGTATTTTTCATGTGCAAGCAAATTTGAATCTATCCTGATTCTATAAGTCGAAGCAACTGCTAATTATTATATTATGTTAACCAATTTGCACAGCAGTTTTGAGCAATTCTGTAATAAAATTTCTCTCAGGAAAAAAACGTTAAATTTGCTTGTACATATATATGTAACTTGAACCATCCTGGAAAAATTTCAGTGAAAACAAAGTTTTAGAAATAAGCACAAAAGTCAATTTGTTTGTCAGGATTTTGTTGAAATAAAGGAAAATTGGGAGAAAAACATTCCCAACAGCCCAAATTCTTTTTTAATTTTTTTTTTTTTTAAGATTACATTTTGATTATGTTTTACTTAAACAATAAGAATGTCCAGGGTGGTTGAAATATGTGTTTGTTATGTACTAGTTGGTGGTGGGTGTGTGCTTGTTATTGTGTGGGGTGTAGGTGGTGGCTTGTGTGGGGTGTAGGTGGTGGTTTCTCCACAGGTCATCGGAGTTGGACTGGTGCCCCGTTTGCGTATTGCGGGGTAAACCCAGTTAATCGGAGTTGGACTGGTTCTTCGGTTGAGGTGCGGGGTAAACCCAGTTAATCGGGGTTGGACTGGTGCCTCGGTTGGTGCGAGGCAAACCCAGTTTCAAGGGACGGGTTGCGTCCACGGGAATGCTCCGGCATCCACGTGGGGCGTGGGTCCTATGCAGCGGCCTGGAAACCCTAGGATGCCGTGCCATAAAGGAGCAGGTAGTGCGTCCCTCTTTATAGGGGCGTGGCCCTGTATTCACAGCCGGCAAACGCTGCTACTTCCTCAGAACGCATGAACCTGTAATGGGGGATGAACTGAGGGGGGCACGCATATAGGTTAGGGTACTCTCCTGATCCTTCGGGGTTGGGGGGGCGTACCGGACAGTCGGCAACTGTGCATGGCCCTCCGGGGCCGGCCTTTTGCCCAGCAATGGACCTGACGATACTGAAAGCGTGTTTGGGGCTGGTATCCTGGGACCTTCACGTGGTGGCCCTGTTTAAACCAATCTTACCAGGATGTGCTTCCAGAAGGGTTACATCTAAAAACAAGGTAAGATTTTAAGAAGGAATGACTTTTTGAAGAAATTTGAAATTTAATTAGGAACTTTTGAAAAATAAATTCTCAACAAACATCATAATTATTGCCGATCAGTCAAAATGGACTTCAATTTTAGACCCCAAAGAGCATTCCATTTGTTTCTTGGATTATTATTTTTTCCATCAAGTAAACCAAAGCATTCTGTTGGAGAAAGATTTGAAAACCTTTTCTTACAATGGTAAACAATCTTCAGAGTGGGTCATCAAAGGCCTTTTTCTTTTAATTGAAATGATGCCACCTCAAAATTTCACTCCAGTTTTAACTCGGCATTCTGAATCTATAGCTTAAAAATTCTGGGCACGCTAAATAAAGATAACAAATAAGTAAAACAACACAAACAAAATTGCTTTTGTGTTTATAATTGGAAATACAAAATTTGTGGACAAGATTTGTGTGCAAAATGTACTTTGAAAACTTGACCACTTGAATGATTGTTTTGTTTTTGATAACACTGCAAGGTACAAGCTACCACGGATGAGAAGCTTACTGGAGAGAAGAGGGAAAGTAGCGATGAAACAACGATTTCAGGGGAATCCGATCATCCAATCCAAGGTGAGCATCTGATTGCAACTGATCCATTATAGACAGCAAAAGGAATGGAGAAACATCTTCAAAACGGCTGAAATTATGATTGGACATTTGTCTGTGAACAAATTGAATTCTGTACTTTGAAGTGCATTTTAAGTTAATGGCTTTTGATGCTCTGCATGAGACGGTTTAAAATTGATTTTGTCATGTCAGTCTGTTTTAAAATGCATCAGCAAATTAAACTTTTTCTAAACTGAACAGTTTCCAGTTTAATTGATTAAATGAAATTCACCAATTTGCCACTGGATAATGTTGTTTTGTATTAGTTATTTTGTTATTGCAGTTTAACCCCCCCCCCTCCCCACTGGAGATGAGAGGCTGTAGAGGAATTTGTTGTGGTGACAATGAATCATTCTAATCAAAGGTGAGCAAAACATCTGACTGAAAATGATCAATTCAAGACAGCAAAAGCGGGAACGGATAAACCTAAGAAACGGCTGAAATTATGATCGCACATTTGTCAATTCAGAGGTCCTTGTCAGAGCAAAAATACATGCTCAAGTCAGATTTTGTACTTTTGACATGCATTCTAACTTTTGGGGAGAAGTTTATTGTCAACGTGATTGATGGCTCCAAATTGGTTTTCGCAGTGCATTTTGGCAAATTTATTTAAATTCCCTCATTTATGATGAATAACGCTTTCTGTTCATTCTCAGCCCTGATCACTTATTTCCTTCAGATATCAAACATTCATTTCTTGTTTTTCTTTCCTTCCTTTCCTGATAGTCAGTATGGGCTCTGAGAAACACGCAGGAGACAAGATCTGCCGCAGCCATTGTTAGCAAGAACTACCAGTTTAATAAGGTCAATAATTTTGCACTTGTGCTTTGAAATCAAGGAGCAATTGTAGTTGACTTCCAAGGTAGAGAGTAGACTCTGCTGTTGTCACAAAGATTTACACATGTGTATTTGAAGGACAGTTTTCCAAGTTGTAAACATATTTTTCAAACTACGAATGATTCGCTGATTGTGAACATGCCCTGAAAGTGTCCACTGGTTGCACCTCAGAAATTGCTTTCCAATGTGGTCATCAGATTATAGTCTCCATAATCTCTTGAGATCAATTCAAGTCTGCATGTCCTCTTGATAGTAACTACAACATTGATGTCTTATTTTGATGGAAACAAAATCTTCTTTGTAGTTGAGATGTTCTCAAATTCTGAAATTGTCTGATGATCCACTATGAGCCCTGTCTGATAAACACTATTCTAAGACCCCACTGTTCTCAATCCAATTCAAGTTGACTTGACTCTGATATGCCTTTTTGTTTCTATCTCACATCTTCCTCTGCAGGTGGACCACTGAGCACGATAGCCTTGCATAGGAGAGCGTCACGAGTGGATTTACAACTGACTGACCAATCAACTTTCATCGGAACTTTCTGAAGTAGTGGTGGTGGGAAAGCTAGGTTTTCAGGTTTGAAATGGAATGTTTATCTAAGTTATGACTAGTTAAATGTTTGGTATTTTGTAAATTTATTTATTTTAACTGCATGCAAACACATAAAATTGTGATATTTTCTCCAAAATGTATGATACTTGTGAAACGGCAAAAAATGGCTCACTAAGAAAAAATCCTGTTTGAAATTATTACGTCACGATATACTTGTAGAAACTGGGACAAAGAAAAAAAGGAATCAAGAAAAACAAATAGACTTTTCGAATTTTGAATTTAGTCTGATAAAAAAGGAGATCTTTAAAAAAAACAAAAACGTATCCTTAAATAAAAAAACAGTCTTCTTAACTGAAAGAAATCTCAATCTGGATCAAACAATGAACAAAAAAAGCTCTAAAGGTATAAACAAATGGACAGTAGGAAAAAAGTATAAAGCCACACAGCATTATTGGAAAATGACTGTAAAAGCACAGCAATGATCTACAAACCAATGACTCCACAAGCAGACAAACCCAAGCAGGAAACAACTCCAGTTAGGAGGAACTTATCATGAAATACTGTGAACTATAAACTGCTGGTCTGCTGGCTACAACTAAAGTGTGGCTTGTAGGGCTGTCCATTTTCAAATAGTTTAGTATTTGATTATTTCAAAACTGCACTTAACCGAATGTTTGAATATTAGAAACTTGCCGATCAAGTGTGACACACGCAAGCTCCATCTCCAATTTCTTGCCACCACAGACGGATGTTTCAGTGAAGTCGTTTTGCTCCAACCTCTCTGCCATCTGCCATGCGATGGGCGCTAGAGCACATCCCGTTGAAGAAGTCGGTAGCTAGGGGTGGAGGAGCAAAGTTCAAGTTAACAACGCTGATGTTTAATGGTAGCTACTAGAGATCCTGGATGCTGACTCTGCCTAGGTAGGTGATGTTGAATACGATAGAAATCACTAGGGAAAAGTTCTATATGAACAGCATGTGAAGTGACAGTCTCTAAAAAGAGAAGTGGTTCTGAAGAGTTGAAGATTTAGTCAGTGATTCTCCTGACTGTCATCAGGAGAATGCCTAAACCTAAAGACAGGTGATCATTTAACCCCTTAACGCTGGCTGACGGCGGTGACTGCAGCTCAATGAAGGGTGATGAGCCAGGGAACGCTGTGGCCGCATTCCTGCTGCATTCATTGATGGGCAATATCCAAATGCCTGCATGTACACATTCAAACTCAAAGTGCAGCTGATCCGTGGCTGACAATACCGGCATCAAGGGGTTAACAGGTGTTGGGCAGATCCAGTGTGGATCAATGAAGCAGGATTTGATTAAACAGCCAGCTTAGGATTGCATTATATCAGGAATAAATGACCCACATGTCTTAGATTTATTGAAGATCAATAACATGTGGAAACACCTGTTATATACCTCCTGAAAAGCGATTGTGTGCCGGTTCGTGTACGGTCCCTATACTTACATATATAATTAATTTTAATGTCGCTTTTTATTTCCAATTCAAGGTTTTCACAATACCTGGACCTAAAAGATGAGCTGCTTTTGATGCTGAAATGCACTGACACGGCACTACTTTGTGACATCACACATCACGTAAATCCTCACCGTTTTCACAAACTGACATGTACGCATGTGGGGTCAGTTCGTGAAAACCGTGTTATCAATAATTTCAGTTTCACGAACTGACATGCGGGTGTGTGCACGCACTTTAATAGTACACTGACTCGTAATAGAATAATGTAGTTTTTTACCCAATGAAACACAAACATGTGATGGAAATACGAAATAAAAACGCTTTGAAGGGTTCGACACAAATTTACACCATCCATTTACTTGTGGGCTTACACAAAAAATGAATTAGAATCCTTTAGACTGGTGACATTAAGACCGGTTTCAGTTTGTGAAAACCGAGTGTCAGTTTGTGGTGTCTGTGACAAAATTTTGATGCCTTTGGTTCGCTTAGAATGTAGTTTTAATGGGTTTTTTTCAGAACTCAAGAACTAATAAATTTAAAGGATACAATTAATGGTTGACTTCACATCCCTGCCTGCATCAGTGATCAATTGCATAAACTTAATTCAAAGTGGTTGTTACATCAACTATTTACTTGAAATGGATCAGTAGAGTTTTTACGCAAAATTTTTGGATCAGATCCTTGCTTGAACATTGTAGTAAACCAAGTTATTGTTAGTGCACCTTCTTCAGACATCTCTGTGAACAAGTTCACTCATTATGTAACTTTCCATTCTGTGTATGTGTGCTCACATGTCTTTTCAGCACATGTTTGTTATCTTGTTTATTTACCATTTCACTTGCCTCATAAAATCAGTTCTTTGTTCCGTATAATAAAATTAAAAACGGTTTCAGCAAGTGTATACTCGGTGACATGCAACCAACCGAGTTACTGGAGATCGCTTGAAGTAGATTGCATGCAAGTTGTTTCTTCAGTCAACATGTCCTACTTGTGATAGCGTCGCATCTACATGCACCCCTGCATCACTGACAGAAGTGCAACTTCTTCACACAGAAAAGCCAGCTGTCACTGCAAATACAAACATTGTCTGCAGGACGTCATCGTTCTTGCAGTCATTCAAGCAATCGACCATGCTTCCTGAAATGGTAGGTATAGGAGCTGGATGATGAAGAACAACTCTGGAGACAAGCTGCTGGAGAAGAATCACTACACGGCCAATCTCCAACACTCCACGAAGGAACGCTCATCAGACGCCCCTTTGGGCAACAGTAAGGCGGATAAGGGGAGGATTCTGGCTCTGGCCCAACACTCTGTGGATGCATGCTTGAGAACCCCTCAGGGTAACCGTATCACAGATGAGGGTTTGGGGAAGTGACCGGGAAAGTGCCCAACACTCCGTGGAGGAATGCTCAGCAACCCTAGGGCGACCATAACATAGACAAGGGCCAGGCCAATGCCTGTACGTGGTACTCGAGATCATTCCTACGGCTTTTGGACTCCATCGTTACAGGCACGGGTCCATCTCAAATCCGCAGCCTTGAAGATCTCCGGACAACGCAATCAATTCTTGTCCTATTCTTTCACTTAGTGCCTGGAATTGTGTCTTGTGTTGGGAAAGCTACCATTTGCAGCAGACTTGACCAGACACCAGCAGTGTATAGGCCTTCATCCTTTAGTTTCCTTCAATCGTGTCTACTGAGGAGGGGCATTATATTGCTACCTCGGCATCCGTATCAGGTTGTACAGAAGCGACAAGAGATTGAGGCACTGGTGGCCAAGATGACAGAAGATCTGCGCAAGGTGGAATCCTCTCTCCTGGCCCCCTGGCAAACGCTGGATGCGCTACAAACTGCCATTGAATAGTGCACCTTGTATGTGTTGCGTGTCAGCAATTGCCAGAAGAAAAGTCTGAAGTGGCTAAAGAAAGAAAGGTTGGTGCAGAAAGTTTGCAACCTTCCGATGGGACCACCACCAATGACGTCTTTGCGACGTCTATACAGAAAGGTGTAGGTCTGATGGATCCCAACCGGGATGCTGCAGTCAAACAGTCACGCAAGCCGTCCGCATTTCATCTTCACCTGACAATATCGTCCGCGGTGTCTCCACCATACAGTTGACTTCTATCATCTGCCGCACCATTCAGTTCATGAGCGGGTCTTTGGAAGGGGACTTGGGCCCCACGCTAGGATGGTGGTTTGCCTGTTGGGTATCTCTTTCAGGGGCTGCTGTTCCAGCTCAGTACTTACACGTACAGACAAGGGAAAGGAGATACGCTCCAAGAGCATTACCACAGCTCTGCGTGCCGCGGCTCGAGAGTTTCACTCTTGTTGAGAACCGACCGCAGCCGGTAATTCCAATCAGCCCTCTTTCGTACCCTCACTTGATCTTGCTCTTGATTGATATAGCTGTGAGCTCCTACAGGAACATCACTCAGCTTGGAAGGGATGGACGTGCTATTGACGAGTGCTGAGGGATCTAAGGGCATCGCTGAATTGATTGGTGTCTCCTATGCCAGTAATGTGCTGAGGGAGGTCGTTCTAGTCCTTGCTGGTCTGATAGAAGAATGAGTGTTGGAGTCCTTTGATATTGGTGAAGGGGATCTGAAGGTAGTTGGGTTTTGAGTGTCTCGTTGATATTTCTGGCTGCTTAATGGTTATTTCAGGTGGAACTTTAACGTCGTCCGTCCATTGAAGATTTTGTGGAAGTTTGTGAGGCGCTGTACGTATCTCCTATTTTCCAGGGTGGGTAATTCCAGTTTTTCAAGAAGAGCAGTAACAGATGTAGAATTGTCCCAGCTATATGTGTTAGTGATGAAGCGGGCAGCTCTTCGTTGAACCATCTCCATCTTCTGTTTATTGGTGGCTGTGAAGGTCCCACACTGATGCACAGTAATCGAGATGAGGATGGACTAAACTTTGATAGGCTTGGAGTTTGATCTTGGGTGGGGCTGAACCTAAGTTGCGTCTAAGAAAACCAAGCATGCTGTTAGCTTTAGCTGTGACTGCATTCATCATGTCGGTTTTAAGGCCGTTGTCCAGTCTGTTCTGGGTTGGCCTGCTTTCTCCCTATGGCTCTCCTCCACTTGGCCCTGTCCGTCGCGTCCCTCGCATTGACTCCAAGCAGTCGCATGTCATCTGACACGGAGCTCTGCCAAGTCTTGCGCGGTCGGCCGACGGGTGTGGGCCCACCCACAATTACGTTGGTACACCTCTTGACCCAGTTGACATCCTCCTTTCTCTCCACATGACCAAACCACCTCAGCCTGTGCCTCCTCAATACGATGCCAATCCCCTCCACTCCCACTCTCCTCCTCAACTCCTCGCTTGACAGCCTGTCAGCCAGAGACACCCCACACATCCACCTGATCATTCTCATCTCTGCTCGTTCCATCTGCTGGATGTGCCCCACCCTTGTGGGCCATGTCTCGCAGCCGTACACCATACTGCTTCGGACACAGGCGGTGTAAACCTGGCCCTTCATCTTCAGGGGCGGCGCCTTGGATGTCAAAAATGGGGCCAGCTCCCTGAACTTCTTCCACCCACTCCTCACGCGTGATGTCACTGCTGCTCCTCCCTCAGCACCCAGCATGTCACCCAGGTAGTAGAACGACTCCACCACCTCATACGTGTCACCGCAGACCTCCAGACCCGCTTCTCTCTCCTCTGGCCGTAGACCATCATATACTTGAGTACTTGCTTTTGCAACAATGTTTATGTGAATTATGGGTTGATGATAAATTCATACTAACATTTTGTTGTGTACGCAAAGGAAGCTAAAATTCTAAATTCTATCTTGAAAACTCCTCCTTACATATAGTTGTTCTCCCAAATTAGTGGAGCCTCAAAAGCTACAAAAGCCTGCAAAAAAGTAATCATAAACTGCATGCATACAAGTATGCTATTTATATTCAATTTTCCTTTTTAATTTTTGATTTTAACTTGAATTTCAGGTTTTCCTGCTCTTACCAAGAAGACGTTGCTCTTGATGCTGGAATGCCCTGAAACTGCACCACTTTGTGATGACATCAAACATCAGAGAAACTACATCCAAGGTGCCTTGGGCCTATTTAGAATGTACTAGGCTGTTAAATGAGAAAAAAAGGTTATATGGGCAATTCCATGCTGGTGGAGACACAAGACCAAACAGTTATTGTACGGTTTGTTCCAAGTTTGATTTGCTGAAGTGACACAATATAGCTTGGCGTTTTTAAAACTGAAATAGTTTTGTCCCATGCGCGCACTATTTTGTGAGTTACGGTACACCATCACATCAAAGTCTGCAATGACGTCATGATGACTTATGGATGCACTGGTAAGGAATTTTGAATTAGTCTTTTGCTATCTATTCAGTAATATTTTCTCTCAATTTGTTGTGTTACCATTTTAAGGGTGTTTGGATATTATTTGTAGTTTTTAATTTTAGTCAGATTTTGCTTGTAAAATGATGTACAAATTTAATTATTTGTAAGTCACCAAAATAGATTTGGTTTTTTTGTAAATACCTACATTTTTTTACCAATGAATTATTCTGTTAAAAGTTTCTTAGCTTGAGTTTTTGAGAAGTATATTTAAATATAGAATTTTGTTTACATTTTAGTTTTAATGCTTAGGCCAGCCATGAAATATTGTAATGTCCGCCACATGTAATGTCATGCAGTCACAATCTCTTAGCGTAACGTAATGCCAGTCACATTATTGCACAGTCCGTAGTTGAGGAAAATGCAAGTACACATGTTATTTAAGTCCATACACATACAAGTAGTAAACTCTTTCAACCAAAATGCAACTGAGTGCCAAGCCACTGTCTGAGCAACTTATATATTTTCACAAAACAAGTCTTTTTAAAATTTAATTTGGACATCTGTAACCCTTTGATAAAATGAAAAATATGTTTGTTTTGCTTTTTGGCACAAGTAGTCTATCATTGTCCATTTTGATGGGGTGGGGTGGGGGAAGTCTTCCCTGTGAGAACTGAATTATTGTTTGGCACCAAATAGTTTGATTTTCATAATCCCCTATTTATTACTTAACATTGGCTAGCTTATTTCTTTTGTTTTGTTGTTGGTACATTGGATAACTTTGGTATTGCTAGAAAAGTAGCAAGTAAAATTGTGTTAATGTAAACATGTACAAATTATGATTAATTCTGTTGAATATTTTATATTTTCAGGAAAGATGTGCAGCCAAGTTGCAACTTACAGCAGCAGAGAGAAAGACACAGCAGAAACAAAACTTGGAAGAAAAGGATTGTATGAAGGCCACAAGAGGAACAAATGAAAGAGGAATAGACAGAAAAGATCAGAACATGAGGAGTTTCATAAAGTGAGCAGGAATAAAACTAGGAGAACAAGTAGTTAAAATTGAGCATGGAATTTGTTAAACATGTTGAGACCTCAAAATTTGTAGTAACACAGAAAATATGATGCAAGTCTATTTACCCAGGTTTTATTGGAGACAACTGTAATATTATTACGGTCGCTTTGCAAAATTTCTTACTTAATTAGCTTTATGATCAGTTACTTTTTGGTGTTGATGGTATATACATGTAGGTTTTTTTATTATGTTTTTGTTTTTGATAAATTCTAAAATTCTTTGAGTTTGGATATTGAAAAATTATTTTTGGTCTCGAATACAGTCACTGTTGGAAATTATGAAGAAAATAAAACTTGACCTGAACAGAAACTTTTCAATACACAGTGTCTCATTTCTCAATTATCATGATTATAAAAACTTTCATTTTACATCTTTGTTCATGTATAAAGTGTTATACAGGCTATAAATTATATGAAAAATAAAATATGACATCCATTGGCCTTTAACATGAAGAGAAATTTCAAATTTGCTCTATCATTTGTTTCCTGTGTTCTTTTTTATGTAATGCCAGTCACAATAAAGAAAGAGTTCTGTAAGCGAAGGACGTAAAAGATCAATGCGTCTACAGGTTGGAAAATGTAAAGACACTTCATCCCGAAAAAAAAAGATGCGTATTGGAATTTATATGATACGGCTGATTAGTGTACACAAACATAATGACGTGTTCAAATTGCAGTTTTTGGCATGGCGTCTCTGCGTATACCTATTGAGAAAATTGCGTTATAATTTCTTGTCACAAAAATGCTCCAAATTCACTGTATACCTTTAAAAGTTCACTCTAACTTCTAATTGCAAACCGACATATGTCTTGTACATCATAAAATTAAGAATGAGAGGAGGTTATCATTTTTCTTTAAGAGAAAAATTTGAATTAAAAAACCTATGTCACTTATTCGCATGTGAGAAGAATTGAAGTGATGGCGTCACGCGTAAAATCGTGATACTGATGCGAATTTGAAACCTGCCGAAACACTCTAATGTCTGTCGCCATGGAATTGCCCATATACTTGCTAAAACTGTAGATTTTCTGATTTTGCCCAATTAGTTACTTGGCATTATTGTATTTTTGTTCATTTGTGTAGTTATCATTTGTTTAAATTTAAAATTGAGATTTTTGTTTGTATATCAATGAGAGAAAGTTAAAAAGTGTTGTACATAGTTGTGCACCCTAGTTGTGGTAAAAATTAGTCTCAATGAGGAGCGCCCTCTATTGCCCATGAATTGCTAATGACTGTTTCATGAATGAATTAATGTATAATAATAATAATAAAATTATAATGGAAATTTCTATAGCCCCGAATCCATTTAAAAAGTGCTCCCTGCACTTTACAATCAAACTATTTATATAAATAAAAGGAATATAAATACAATTTTTAAATTGTGATTATTTAAAACTCAAAGTGTATGATCCACACTAACAATTGGTTTAAACATGATGCATAGGAATGCTTTGTTACAAGGTGTAAGATATGGTTGACATGAATGAAATCAAGCCAAATTTGTGTGATGTAAATGATGTTATCAAACAAAGTTAAACATTAGTAACTTCTTTGCAATATACAATTAAAACTGTCTTTTTGTAAAGTGACATTTTTAAACTACATTCCTAATAGAAAAAAGTTCTGGGAGGAAAAATCCATGTTTTAAGGATACAAAATCCATAAATATTTCCTTTTTGAGTTGTCCTTAAATGTATGGAAAGAAAAGGGAAATGGAGAGTGTTTTTGAAATAATTTGAGCATTCTAAAATGATTTGGCATAAAAATCTAGCCAGATAGACACAGTTAAAATATTTGGTCTATAGAGGGCAGTATGCATATATTATCTGTAACATGTTTGTAAATCAATGTTTAACTTATTTAAATTCAGTTATACAAGCAATTATTCCTGAAATAAGGCGTTACTGTATTGGAACTGGTATTGTTTTTCTTTTTTAAGTGGTTAAAACATTTCAGAATTTGAAAAAAATAGTTGTATAAGATTTGAAGCAAAATTCACTGACAATTTTAAGTAAAATCGAGATTACCAAATTTAAAAACCTCCATTTCCACATTCAAACAAAAGTTGGCCTTTTATAGTTAAAAACAACTTTGTGCCCCCCCCCCCCCAAGAATAAAATGAGTGAACAAATTTAACGTAGGACTTGCTTTTAAAATATTGAGCATTGACAAATTTAGAATCTTGTAAAGGGAAGTAAATTAACGTCTACATTTATTAAACAGAATTGTGTTTCTTGTTAAATACATGTATGTGAAGTTTAAAAACTGTAATATTAACTTTAAAAGAAAGTGTGAAATAGGTTTGTAAAAAGTGTAAATAAAGAGCAACAAAAGAAATAATATGGAATAAATGTCTAAATTGAGAACCAGAATTTTGGATCTGTTGAGGTTTCCTTCTCAATATTCAGTTTTCTGCTTTCTTCAATTATTCAAATGAGCCCAGGCGGCCATTTTTTTTTCTTTTTTTTATATTGCGCAATCTAACCTTTAAATATTAGTTCCGAGAACACATTTTCGAAGAGGCCAGTGGCCTGGTGGTCTAGCTCGCTGACCGCCAGGCGCTGGGTCCCCGGTTCAAAACCCAGCCGGGGACCCGGGAGGAGAATTTTTCCTCACAGCAGTGATAAAATTTTAAAAATATATAAAATAGTAGCATGGAGCAGAGTTGAACCGCGTACCTTGTGCATGCCAGCTCTCTTCTTTTCCGCTCTGCCATGGCACTTTCTTGAAAAAATCTCCGGTTATTGTAATTAAAACCCTTAGGTTGTTGGACTTAGAAAATTTTTCAGCTTTGGCCAGAATTTCAGAAATCAAGGGGTACCCCTTAAAATTTTTTTCAGATCTGAGGGTCTGAGGCTGGGAGGTTGAGAAGTTGGGAGCTGAAGGGGTTTGGAGCTGGAGGGTAGGCTTTGGGACTTTGGGCTGACTGGTTGGTGGTTGAGAGGGAACTGGAATATTAGTTGAAGGGCTTCCTGACTGATAGGTCTGAAAGTTGATAGGACTGGGAAGGGTCTTGGGGATTTTTGGACTTTGGAGTTTATTTGGCTGGACTTAGATTTGGGAACATAATTTCCTCATATTAGTTGGACGAAATTTTTGACTGAATTTTCAGACTTCTTTTTTGAAGCCCTGCACTGTCCTGTAAGTTCAGATCTGTCTTCGCAGCCAATCATCAGTCAGACTGGTAGTTAGCCTTTTCCTTTTTTGGAGATTGCTACACTTGTTGAAGCCTGCTAGAGACCACATAAGACTGCTGGAATGCTGGTTACCAGTGGTGTGTGAGGTGGATGTAGACTTCTTAGCCTGAGGGTCTCGATACAACCTGGTTGAAGGGCCTTCCTCACTTGACCATGTAGAGTGCCGTCAGCATGGGTTTTCATGCTTCAATGATTTTATATGGCTTATCGCCCTCTCCTGTCAAGGTGTCCAGAGGTCACATGATAGTCTGGTGCCGGTGAAAATTTCAGGATTTTTAAACAGGAGTAATTTTTACACTTAATTTTTAGAGGTATGCCTGAATGTTTGCAAATCTTAGATTTGTTTCTCAGTGCAACAGTATAATGCAAAGTTTATACAGCTTTGATTATATTTTACATTAGTATTTTTCTAAATGTTTAATCGTTTTTTGTTACGCGATTCCTCTTGAAATTTTATGGAGTTCTTAATTGAAGACTTTACTTTATGAACAATCGATGGACACATTTTTATTAAGCTCAGCATATATTTCCAGAATTGTCGTCCACACAAATGTGTTGTTCTTGTTGCGTATTACGAATATTTTTCATTCCGATTTAAATTTTCACGCAGAACACACTTCGTTGTTTTTGTTATATTAATTGAATTAATTTGGTGTTGAAATTAAATAGACATCGTCTCAAAAACCAGTGTGTGGGGTTTTTTGGGACTTTTTTTTGCATTATTTTGCATTGCCATTTTCTCGCTAGAAACAACTTGTTCTAGTTACATTAACTGTATTGTTTGATATTCCTGTAAAAAATTTTCAGGCTTCACAAAAACGTCATGATCAGTTTATAACGGAGGAAATTTCACTTTAATACAATGGGTATTTCTCATGATATCCTCCAGACAACGAGTATGTAAAAACGTCATGATCAGTTTATAACGGAGGAAATTTCACTTTAATACAATGGGTATTTCTCATGATATCCTCCAGACAACGAGTATGTTTTGTTTCATTAGGTCGAGTAAAAAAAACACATGATTCTCGTCCGGGTTTTTGAAAAAAAGAGGAAGCGGGGCTTTTTTTTTTTTTTTTTTCAAGATGGCGGCCATTTAAAAATTTCCTGCAACTGTTGGTGTTTCCACTGTTTAAAGACACTTTTAAAATGAAAGATAAGTTAGACAAGAGAACTGAACATGTTTACAGTTTCATTTAGACTTGCATTGGTCTACAATTTTTTTCCGATGAATTTGTGGACTTTTTCAGTGTTTTTGTAACTGCATTTTTCAAAAATAAAAAATAATAAAAAAATCCAGACGGCCTCCAAAAAAGGAAGCAGGCGGGGACGAGAAACTTTTTTTTTTTACTTTGCTTTAATGGTTGATTTAATTCGCATTGTACTTGTTTTCCTGCTGAATTTACACACTCTACAATATTAAATTTGACAATTCCTCTTCAAATTTGGGCTGTTTAGGACGTCAAAATTTCAAATTTTCGTGACGCGCATCGGCTGCGCTGTATTTTGGAGACATTCCAAGCACCAGGAGCCCATGTTTAGAACATTTTGCACACTACGCGCACAGGGCGTTACACACGCAGTTGTAATTTTCCTACAAAGATGGCGTCCTATGAGAGAGATCTATAGGAGAATCCCGGCCTCGTCATCACAACCAACCAACAAACAAAATTTCAATTGACTTGCATTCTGATTGTACTTTTTCCACTGAAAACACTCCATTGTGTTTTGTTTTATTGTTGCAAGAAAAAACTATGAGAATTGTTACACACTCCCTGTTATTCTAGATTTGTATCTGCACATGTGCACTTAATCAGGCCATAGAGCTAAAGTAAATTATTAGAGAGGTAATTCATATATGAATAGGATGAAGCTTGCTGGGCGCATGCATCCATGTTTGTGCTTAAGTCATCAGACATTAGCTTAAATGTTGTATGTTTATACATTTCAAAGCTGTTATTACAACTTTCATTTAAGTCTGTGCTTTCACACTAGTGCGCTGCATAGATTTTTGCATTTTGTTCACTGTAGATCACGTGGCTGCTCAGCCATATATCTGTTATATTTTGGCAACACATTAAGTGCATATAAACTCAAAAGAATTGATGTCATATTGGTGACGTGACTTGCACATTGATCTTGCTATATGTACATTCTTCAAGCACTGTGTTGAGCTCAGACAACTTTGAAGTGTGCAAGGCAATGAGGAGTAAATGCCCTCATATTTTACTACAGCTCTATGGAATGGACATTTTAACTGATAAACTACTATTGAGACAACAGAGGTCAAAGGTCACCCAGGTTCACTGACCTTTAATGTTGTAATGTATACATGTCAACAAAACATATTTTTAACTAGCAGTTTCCAAGATTGGTTTAAAGTAACTTCAAATTTTCAACATTAGTAGCCTATCATCTTTTTACATACGAAAAATTAAGCCAACTAAAAAGCAAAGGTTTTCAATTGTTTTACAGTACTGGTAAGGCCCCCCAAAAAAACCACTTAGTCTCTGGTCAGACCATAGTTCCGGAATTGATGCGGCGACGCGTCTTTTTTTTTTTGCTTTTTTTTCAAGCTTTGATTGTACAGACAAGGTGGGTTACGATTTTGCTTTTTTTTGGTGTACTCATGTACATTGGTGTCCTCCATAATTTGCCTTGGTGCCCTCGATCATTTGCCTTGGTGCAATTTCCAATTCCTTGGTGCTCTTTGGTAAAAAAATATTGAGGTGCGCCAATAGAGGGCGCTGTTGGAGCATTCGCGGAACATTTTGAAAAAAGAAGAAGATTGAAGCGCATTATTAAAATCGACGCGTGCACTGACCAGAGACCGACTATTATTTTTTTTGGCCTGACATTAAATTTTTTGGTAGGTAAGGCAACAAACCCACAGACATATAAATGCATAGACCGCCAGGTCCTATTCAAAACTACATGAGCATTTTGTGATTTGCCTAGCGCCCGACTAAAATCAAAACTATTGGGAAATTCACCTCTATGAATAGGGATTTTACACACGGTTGAAGAATTCCAATCAAACATGTAAAAAAAACCTGTGAAGTTAGTTTTTGATTGTTAACAAATCCCTTGTGAACAAAATACGATATCCGAGATTAAAAACAATACGGTATCCAATATTTTCATACAACTTTTGAGTAATACAGCCTTTACCAAAATAATTTATGAACTGTATTTAAATGTATGTACTGTACTAAGCGCATTGGCACATTGAGTGGCATCGCAGTTATGCGCGCTGTCAACAAACATTTTGCCCAATTATTAAATCACGGTTTCACACGCACGACTGGTGGTCTATGTGTTTATATGTCTGTGAACAAACCAGATAGCATTATGGCACCCTCTATGGCTACTGGCCATTGAAGAAAAATTAATTAACTTAACTATCGCTTGTGGATGCTGCGGCTGTGACGAACAGCGCCCTCTATAGGAATGGACAGAGAGGTGTCCTCATGTCACATGACTGACTGGCTCTGTGATGCTCCCAACACCCGGGAAAATAGAAGACAAAATTGCAAATTTAATAAATTTATCAAATTTAAATTAAAAAACATTAAAAGTAAACAAATGAGGATTATTTTGTTGGGTGATTGAGGGTCGTTGATCCCAACTACATGCAATGCTGTTTTGCCAATTTCATTTTAGAACGTGTAGTTCGTGTCAACAAACTTTTTTAGGGCCCCTCCCTGCAAAATAAAAAAAGTGGTATTTAAAAAGGCCTGTAAAGTTTTGAGTTTTGTATTCGTTTTGTAAGATGCCAATTATCTTTCCTTATAAACTCTTGTATTCCATGATTTTTAGACTACATGTTTTACTTACGTATAAGAATATCTATAAATCTGAAAGTCGCAAAACAAAAATCACCCCGTATCATTTTGTTACATTTTCCCTCCACTACGGCCTGTGCCCAGTTCCATCTCATTTTGCCAGAATGCCTCACATATATAGCCTGATAATACTCACACGGACTTAAGCTTTGAGACAGGACCCACCTTTAGATTGGTGCCATGAAGTTGCATGGTGGCTACAGGGTTCCAGACCGTTCCTGCCATTCCATGAGCTGTCACCCCTCCCCCATCTCCCATGGCCATGTTATGATGCATGCCAGACATTGGCTCATGTTGCTCACCAAACCGGCTGACAGGTGTCTGTAGGAAATAACCAGGGCAATAAAGTTAGAGCTCGCAAGCATGATGACATTTCAGTAATGTCTTGAGATACACAAGGTGCATCTTGATGAGGTTTTGATTTCTCTATTTGATTTTCTTAATGATCGCTGTTCAGTTTGTGCTGGTCCCAGAGGGCCAGCTTACAGTCCTCTTTGTACCTCACGGATCGACTCACTGTCACTTGTGAGCTGGGCAGTGCTGTTGTATAGGATTACCCTGTAACACCGATGAATGGGCTAAATCAATTGAATAGGACTGTGTGTACTCTGGAACCAACTTGAATTGCCTTGTGTTGTTGTAAACTGTTTTCAAGTCCTGAACTCATGCTGATTGAGTGTAGTGGGGGTGGTGGAGGGGTGAGATGCTTACTTGTTCATTTGGAAGCCATCCTCTCTTGACAGTGTCTTGATGGGGGAAGTTAGGCATCCTGTTAGCTGCTGTGCCTGGGATGTCCTCTAAGTTGCTACTTGGGATCCAGTCACCGCTGCTTCCTGGGGAAAAAAATCAGCAGAAACAACAAGTTTGTTTTAAATCTGCCATTTATAAGGAAAATATTCTCTTGAATGGATGACAACTAATATTTTGCTAATCCGCATGTCCTGTATGTCCATTGGGTTTAGAAATCACAGTGGTCTATTATTTAAATTGTATTTTCATGGCCTGAACTTAAATGTTATCGTATCCTTCTGAGTTGATTTTAATAACATTTTTTAAATAACAAGGATCCTTTAGCTAAGTTCTTCAAATAGGATCTTTAAGTACCGAGCCAAGAAAATATGAAACTATTTCACACTCCTATTATCTTGATGCTCCAGATATAGTCAGTTTTCATGCATCTAATGAAAGTGTGTGGTAAATGAAAACTGAGCTTACCTGGTGTGTAAGCCCAGATGCTACTCCCTGGTGAACCAACAGGGTAACCCAGATCACTGACAGGTACAACAACAAAGCTGACAGGTGTCTTGCGTTGCCCTCGACTACGCTCATTGCTGATTGGAATTGGTAAGCAACGATCTCGACCAATGGCTGCTGGAGGCGGGGCCTGAGGCTGTTCAGTTGCCATGGTGACCAGACTAGGCGAGGTGGTTGGTCAATGAAGCAAGGCTCCACGTGATGAGTGAGCTGCTCAAAATGAAATTAAAATGATAAAAAAACCTCAAAATTAATGAGAAAAATGAATGTAATGTATGCCATTAATGATAGACTGTGTTTCATAATTTGGTCAGAACATAACAACAAGAATTCAAAGTTTTTTTTTTGGGGGGGGGGGGGTTGCTGTAAAAACATGTGCTATGTTAAGGCCTAAACCATAGATGAATTTTAAAAAGTAAACATGGGTTATCCTTTCTTGTGATGTAGTTAATTCTGTGACATCGTTTTGCATTTTGGCTGGGTGGCCTTTAAAAAGAAAGCAACAGTATTTTTGCAGTGAGCTCCAAAATTTGGCCAAAATACATGACCTGTCTCCATGGCAATCGTTCTATTCTGCAATATAGCGTATGCATAATTTTTCTAAATTGCGATGGACTTCAGGACTACTATTAGGGGTGATCATCTTTGGATGAAAATTTCTACTAAAATTCATCAGCCTACCCCCAAAATTTGAATAGAAAATGAAAGATGATAAAATCAGTTTTAATTTGATGTGTCTTAACACCTTGAAGGCTTGTGAGTATTTTCCCCTGAATTTTGGAAGTAGGGGTATCTATCACTGGGGTCTATGGCAGTTTATTTAAGTAGTCTGCAACCTGATGGTGTACGTGTACATGTACACGTATGCAAGTAAAAAATTAACCTAACTCAGGTCCAAGGTACAAACTCAAGTGTAGAGTCAACATGTCAGCAAACAAACAAGATAATGAACTGTACACGGCTCAGATCTGGGATCCGCCCACTCTAAAGGTTACGACTATTCACACTTGTTGCATCAAAGTGGAAAATCCCCCCCCCCAAAAAAAAATGTCTTTCAGTGACTTGACTCCTCAATTCCTTCAAGGAAAACTGAAGTCACACCTGGGAATAAACAGGAATCGAACCAGGGGTCAATAGAAAAGAAAACCAGCAATAGGATCTGAACCAAAGACTCCTCAATTCCTTCAAGGATAACTGAGGTCACACCTGGGAATAAACAGGAATCGAACCAGGGGTCAATAGAAAAGAAAACAAGCAGTAGGATCTGAACCAAAGACTCCTCAATTCCTTCAAGGATAACTGAGGTCGCACCTGGGAATTAACAGGAATCGAACCAGGGGTCAATAGAAAAGAAAACAAGCAGTAGGATCTGAACCAAAGACACCTCAATTCCTTCAAGGATAACTGAGGTCGCACCTGGGAATAAACAGGAATCGAACCAGGGGTCAATAGAAAAGAAAACAAGCAGTAGGATCTGAACCAAAGACTCCTCAATTCCTTCAAGGATAACTGAGGTCGCACCTGGGAATTAACAGGAATCGAACCAGGGGTCAATAGAAAAGAAAACAAGCAGTAGGATCTGAACCAAAGACTCCTCAATTCCTTCAAGGATAACTGAGGTCGCACCTGGGAATTAACAGGAATCGAACCAGGGGTCAATAGAAAAGAAAACAAGCAGTAGGATCTGAACCAAAGACTCCTCTATTCCTTCAAGGATAACTGAGGTCGCACCTGGGAATTAACGGGAATCGAACCAGGGGTCAATAGAAAAGAAAACAAGCAGTAGGATCTGAACCAAAGACTCCTCAATTCCTTCAAGGATAACTGAGGTCGCACCTGGGAATAAACAGGAATCGAACCAGGGGTCAATAGAAAAGAAAACAAGCAGTAGGATCTGAACCAAAGACTCCTCAATTCCTTCAAGGATAACTGAGGTCACACCTGGGAATTAACAGGAATCGAACCAGGGGTCAATAGAAAAGAAAACAAGCAGTAGGATCTGAACCAAAGACTCCTCAATTCCTTCAAGGATAACTGAGGTCGCACCTGGGAATTAACGGGAATCGAACCAGGGGTCAATAGAAAAGAAAACAAGCAGTAGGATCTGAACCAAAGACACCTCAATTCCTTCAAGGATAACTGAGGTCACACCTGGGAATAAACAGGAATCGAACCAGGGGCCAATAGAAAAGAAAACAAGCAGTAGGATCTGAACCAAAGACACCTCAATTCCTTCAAGGATAACAGAGGTCACACCTGGGAATAAACAGGAATCGAACCAGGGGTCAATACAAAAGAAAACAAACAGTGGGATCTGAACCAAAGACTCCTCAATTCCTTCAAGGATAACTGAGGTCACACCTGGGAATAAACAGGAATCGAACCAGGGGTCAATAGAAAAGAAAACAAACAGTGGGATCTGAACCAAAGACACCTCAATTCCTTCAAGGATAACTGAGGTCACACTTGGGAATTAACAGGAATCGAACCAGGGGCCACTAGAAAAGAAAACAAGCAGCATCTGAAGCAAAGACTCCTCAATTCCTTCAAGGATAACTGAGATCACACCTGGGAATAAACAGGAATCAAACCAGGGGTCAATAGAAAAGAAAAACAAGAAGTAGGATCTGAAGCAAAGATTCACCAGATTCAAACCAGACAGCCCTAACATGAAGCTTCCAAGACATTAAGTACATTTAGGATCACTAGTCATCAAATCTAGCTGATGCAGTGATTATTTTCAGAACATGGTCACTTGCACATTGGTCTTCATTTACACTTGACACAATATTATGCAAAGAGCAAAAAACAAGTCTGAATTCGGTGGCATTAGTTTGCTTAAAAGTAATACACAAAGTATGTGTGTTTGGATGAATATGATAGAGTCAGTTTCTTTTAAGGCAAATACTCAATACATGTATATTTTGGGGTTTTGGGTGTTGAAAATTTTCCAGTTTTAAATCGAAAGAGTACAAAGAGTATAGGCCTACAACCGTAAGAGATTATTTCACTAAATATGAAAAGACCAATTAACTTATCTCAGGTCCAAGATACAAACTCAAGTGTAGAGTAAACATGTCAGCAAACAAACAAGATAATGAACTGTACATGTCTGTTGCATCCAGCACTTGTCCCCCAAACTCCCCAAGCTCTATATATAAACCATGTCACGTTACTTGATGATGATTCTGTGTTTGCCAGTGCCATCACGCTCTTTGCATTTTCCAAATGAAAGCACTTCCAAAACCATTTCTTTATTGTTATCAATAGTTTGTCAAGTCTGAACTTAATGACAACAAGAATTCAAAGTTTTCAAAGTCCATTTTCATTTTCTTACTCAACATGAAATGCAAGGTTTTATTAAAAAGATTATAAATGGATTGACTGACCTGGGTGTCATCTTCATTGTTTATTGTGTACATGTACCATCACCTGAAAGAGAAAATGATTGAAAATAAAAAAAGTAAGAGTCATTTCATGTAAGTAATTTACATAAGTGTCCACGGAAAAAAAAGAACTCTTAATAAAAGAGCAAAGGAAATCTGAATTTGGTGGCGCTCGTCTAAAAGTAATGGACAAATTATTTGGGTTTGTAAAAATTTGCAAGATTCAGGATGATTTTCTTTTTATAGAAAGAAAGGAAAAACCTCCGAGATTTTCTCACCAAATATAAAAAACACAAATATAAAAAGATCTCATCACAGCCAACAGCAAAGTATTCTGAGTGCCCAGCTGGCAACTTGCATTTTTTTGGGGGGGGGGGGGGGAGAGGGGTTGAAAATGGAGTAAGAAATGCAACTTTTCTAGTTGTGAAAACATGTGCTATATTAGGGCTTCAAAGATAGATGAATTTTAAGCAACAAAATGTATTAGTAGCGAGTCTGTAAATTGGCCCAAAATGTAGTTGCAGTGAGCCTGTAAATTGGCCAAAAATTGCAAAACACATGCCCTGTTACCACGGCAATGGTCCTGGTACGGATTTTAAAAGACTTTGGTTATTTACTCCCAAGTCCAATCAAGATGAAACAATCAAGTTTTGATCGTGGACACTCATATGAAAGATTGACATGAAACAACTCTTCAGACAGGTTGGCAATTTTACAACTGAAAATTCTGACTGAAGCTGGTTTGTGAGCTAGGTCCAAGGAATTCACACCTTCTTTAGAAATCCAAACTTGTTCATCGGGACTTTTTACAAACAGAACACAAAATGAGAGATTAAATGAGTCCATTATGTCACAGAATGGAAGGAAAAAGTATGCACAGGTACATGTATTAACACCTCATTTGATGAAACAAGTTTGGAATGACATGTACAATGCATATATGTATGGACACTGATGGTTGCAGGCCAGTAAATAGGCCCAAAATTGCCTACGTCGGTCAAATCACGATTTGTACGCCCTCATTTTTTTGCTATCATCATTTTGTGGGCCATGAACTTGAAGGGTTGTAAAAAGAAAAAGAAGAAAGGTGGAAGCCGTGAACAAGACTGCCAGCTCATATTTCTGTGTAATTTGGATGAATTAAGCCCTAAAATTGCTCTTTTTTGCAATGCAGCATAGGCATAAGTTTTCAGAATGGCGATGGGCTTCCGGAATATACTTTTAGGGGTGACAATCTTTGGATATAAATTTATCACAAAAGTCATCGGATTACAACCACAAAATTGAAACACAAATTGAAATATGATGAAACAATAATTTGATGTGTCTTAAAGACCTTGGAGAGTTGTGAGTATTTCCCCCTAAATTTTGGAAGTGGGGGTATCTATCACTGGGGCCTATGGCCGTTTATTTAAGTAGTCTGCAACCTGATGGTGTACGTGTACATGTACACGTATGCAAGTACAAAATTAACCTAACTCAGGTCCAAGGTACAAACTCAAGTGTAGAGTAAACATGTCAGCAAACAAACAAGATAATGAACTGCACATGCCTCGGATCTGGGATCTGCCCACTCTAAAGGTTACAACTATTCACACTCATTGCATGAAAGTGGAAAACCTCTAACAATTTCTTAAAAAAATGTCTTTCAGTGACTTGACTCCTCAATTCCTTCAAGGATAACTGAGATCACACCTGGGAATAAACAGCAATCGAAGCAGGGGCCAATAGAAAAGAAAACAAGCAGTAGGATCTGAACCAAAGACTCCTCGATTCCTTCAAGGGAAACTGAGGTCACACCTTGGAATAAACAGGAATCGAACCAGGGGTCAATAGAAAAGAAAACAAGCAGTAGGATCTGAAGCACAGATTCACCATATTCAAACCAGACAGCCCTAACATGAAGCTTCCAAGACATTAAGTACATGTAGGATCACTAGTCATTAAATCTAGCTGATGCAGTGATTATTTCCAGACAACTTTCATTCTTACTTGACTTGAGACGTTGACCGGCCGTCATCTTCTTGACTCCTCATCGTCTCTCAGCCAACATTCTCTCAAGATCAATTTTACTTCAAAGTTGATTTTTTTGGTTGGTCAAAATGATAACTTTATTGATAGACTGAAAATTCTTTATCAGTATTTATAGCACAGGATAAAAGAAATTTTAGTACATGCAGGGCCTACAGTGTATGTGAAATATGAAAGATTTGAGGAAGAAATATTTTTATAACCTTTTTATTTAATGGTTAAAAAAAAACCTGGTGTGATTAAAAGTATGGTGAGGTGCTTGCGATTGAAATTTAACAAAGGGCAGCATGTACATGTACATATAATGCATGAGCCTATCTAAGGTCCAAAACTCAAGTGGGAAGTCAATATGTACACAGATAAGCAGATATACAGACTGTACGTGTGTGACGTACATGTACATGTATGCAGCAAAACAAAAATCCCAAGCTCTATATATAAACCATGTCACGCGACTTGATGACGATGCTGTGTTTGTCCAGCGCCATCTTTACCAGATCCGCCCCATCAAACGCCTTAACTGCTAGTGCTCTTACATCAAAGTGAAAAAACTCTGTCTTTAAGTGATTTGACTGGGAATTTAAAAGAGGTAAGAAAATATTGTCAGTTATTTTGAATGAGGTTAAATGCTAGCTCACCGGTACAAGTGTAGGAATCACAGTTTGCCTTAAAAAACAAAATGTGAAGAGTACATACAGTAGTAATGTTCCACCAAAACCAACATGTATATTTAGTAATAACCAGATTAGGGCACAAGCTACCGTACACGTACCAGAGCTCTTCAAAAAATCAGAGCTCTTCAAAATTTGACAGGAATTCCAAAAAAAATTGATGTCTTGTTCAAAAGTGGATACATGTAAATACAAAATAACAAATTTGCCTGAATTAAACTCACACAGACAGTGCAGTATTAAAGAAGTTACATCTCTGTATTATAATCATTTCAATTTCTTTTTAAATACTCTTTGTATACAGATAAAATGGCTACAGCTCTAAAGAACATCGGTCCCCATCTTGAATGCATCATCTGTGCAGACAAATACAAACAGCCCAAGGTGCTGGATTGCATGCATAGTTTCTGCCAGAAATGTTTGGAGAAATACTACACTAGCAGGTATGCAGGTCAGCCTAAGATTCCTTGCCCTGTATGTAGACGGGAGACGGTACTCCCAGAGACACGCATTCAAGGCCTAAAAACAAATTTCCATTTGATGGGAATAGTTGAGGAGGTCTCACTCCAAGAAAAGGTGGTTAGTTCAGAAAACACAAAGGTCACCTGTGAGATTTGTGATGAGGGAAATGAGGCCATGCATCGTTGCCTGGACTGTGCACAGAATATCTGCTCAAACTGTCGCAAGACACACTTGCGATGTACTGCTACATCAAACCACACAGTGGCTACTTTGGAGGACATTCGTCAGGGGAAGGTAACAGTGAAAAAAACACCAGAAGAAGATGAGTCTAGATGCCACAAACACAAGGGGGAAGTGAAACGGTTTTACTGTGAGACATGTGAAGAGTTAATCTGCCGAGATTGTACTGTAGTAGACCACTGTAAACCAGAGCATCACTACATTGACTCTGGAGAGGCTTCTCGCAAATACAAACAGTCAATGAAAGATACGTTTCCAGACTTCACCACAGGCATCAAAAGACTTGAACAAGCTTTGACCACTTCATCACAAGTCAAGCAGAAGTTCACACAGAACGTCACAAAGACTGTGAAAGCTGTGCAAGACAAAGCGGATAAAATGAGAGCTGAGATAACAACTCAAGAGACCAAGATGATTAAAGAAATCAAGCAACTCCAGCAGGATCGCAACAGAACATATGATGAACATCAGTCAACACTGACAATGATGCTAGAAAGTAAAAAACATTCATTGGGGACATCCCAAGATATCATTAACACTGCATCAGACAGTGATTTTTTGTCACTATACCCTATCATCAGCAAAGACTTGAAATCACTCAAGAGTCAAAACACTCCCCAGATTGATCCCAAGCTTTCATATCTGAGCTTCACCCCGGGTCATGGTTACATCAATCTGGGCAAGCTTGATGGGGTGGAAGCAGTCAAGTGGGAGATGTGTCGTAAGTTTGGTAAAAGAGGAAGTGGTCGAGGAGAGTTCAATTTGGCTCGAGGTATTACTGCTACTCAACCTGGTGAGATTGCTGTGGCAGACATGATGAACAACCGAGTGGTCATCTGCAGCAATGAGGGACAACACAAGGGAACCATTCTCCTAAAATCAAGTAAGTTTCTTTCATGCACATGTTTCATAATTGTGTGGAAATTATAAGTCAGTCTTCCATGTGCACATGCAGATCTGACAACTGAGAATGGCCAATAAAATACTGGCAAGGAATTGATGTGCTGGCAGTGCTACCAAACATATTTGATTTTGTTCTCCCAACAAATATTAAGGTTTTTTTTACATGAAGGCCTATGTAAAAAAAATGGCACAAAAAAAACACACACAGACACACACTCACAAAATAAACAAAACTTCAGCAAAACTTCTATTTATTTTATTACTGATTTGTGTTTGTATGGTAGAAAAACTTTTTTGGGGGGGGGGGAGGGGTCTGTAACCTTTAGAAAAAAATGTTTATTTAAAGGTTGCTTTGCAAACATATCTGCTCTGTGAGTAGAATGTTTTAGGCCATTGGTGATGGGGCTGATGAGCCCCCATCCAGATCACCCTTTCGTTTGGTCTTTGTTCTTCTGACAATAATGCTGCATGGCTTTTATTTCAAACACAACAACGTGTGAATTTCAAAATTGGTATTCAATATATCCATCCTGACACTGAGATGTGCATTCAAATCTGAAGTCAAAATGACATCAGCAGGCATCAAATTACAAGAAATTTTAGTTCAAAAAGTGACCATTTTGTCTCGTTTATAACTGAACAAAGCATGGAATTACTCACTTACGGGTCAAGGTATGAAGAAAACACTGTGTACAAATATGCACTGTTGTACAAAGACATGACATCATACAATGACACCACCATATCAAATTAAAAGTGATTTAAAGGGACACTACATCCTGGAAAGCACCCAATGGGGCTACAAAGAGCATTTAAAAGTAGGATATTACACAAATATATTGATGAGTGGCTCAGAGTGAAATAGGAGGAATATTATCGCAAGATAAAATCTGGACTTTTCTTCGCCTCGTGAAATGGAAAAGTCCAGATTTAACCAAGCGATAATATTCCTCGGATTTCACAATTTTAAGCCACTCAATATTTGTTTGATATACCTGACATATAGATCCTGACATATTTGATACATTTGAACCTTTATTTCAACATAAAATTGGTGGAAAATGTATTTATTTCTTCCACACCACCCCTTCACAAATATGTTTGAACCTAGCTCTGCAGCGCTGGCTCTTTGGAACAATACGCGATACGGTACGCTACGCTGAACGTGCACACCAGCATGCATTTGCATACAAATACCAAGTCATGGAACAAGAATGATCCTAACTGTTGAATAGTACAATGTATTTCCCATTCCCCATGGGTGAATGGGACTTTTTGAGCCCCGGCGTGAATGGGAGCAATAACGCATGTCACGTGATGTGAGTTCCACCAATCAAATGACAAGGATCTGTATGTCAATATAAAAACGTCTACACAACCATCCTTGACAAATTGGCCGTTTGTGTGTTATTCTTGCAAGAACAAATTTTTGGGGTCAAAAATTTGACTCTCCGAAATGTGTCATTCCATGTCAATTCAACACGATTTTGGACCCGACCCTCACAGATTGAAACGATTTGGTGTGATGATCGGCCTGTATGAGAAACCCCCAGAACTGAATTTTTTTGTAGTTTGGCTTGTTAGATTCTGAGTTACGGGTCAACAAACTTTTGACTAATTAGCATAACCTCCTAACTTTCAATACTTGTATCTCCAAAACTACAGCACCTACAAAGCCAAATTGTACATCATATTAAAGCTCTTTGAATGGCCTCTATTTCATAAAATAAAACCAAAATTATACCATGAAGCACAGAGAAAATGCGCTATGAAATGACCTTTGACCTTAAATTACAAAAAAAAAACAATGTGCTTTAAGTTACTTTTATTTTCTCAGTTGTCAATCTTGGGACATTTTGTGAAAGGTGGCTTAAAGTTTGCCAGAACTAAATTGTTATTATACAGTTCGTTATTATACAATTATTTGATGACTACAAATGGGGTTTATGTTGTTCAATTAATGCTTCATTTGAAAATTGAACAACCTTATTATTGCTAAAAAAAAATTAGCAATACGGGTAAATATAAGACTAATCTATTTTGATGTTTAAACAATGAGAATAGCACAGAGAGTGCATCAACTATATAAAAGACTTTGCAAAACTGTATCTCCAAGACATTGCAGTTGTTCATAATTATACATGTATGGTGGTTGAAGACTACACAATGTTCATGTACAGGCCTGTTAATTCTACATGACCAGGCTTTAAGGCAGGCCATGTTTTCATTAATATAGGTAGGTTATCATAGGTATTATATTTCATGAGGACTGAGAATAGTGACAGTGCATTTATATACTGTACATATGTTACATTTGAGTTCTTCTTTACCCACAGATCCAGTGGCAGTTGCAGCCATCCACAATCATGAGCAATGCTTGCTTGTGTTGGATCTTGGAAACAAGTATGTCAAGGTGTTCAACATGAAGGACAACACTCTTGTTATGCAGTTCCCAACGATGCTCAAGCATCAGGTAGACAAGACAAAAATGAACCTACAGAGTCTAGCCGTAACAAAGAATAGCATCTTAGTAGGCGACACCAACAATATGGTGTGGACTGAACACAGACCCACTGACGGTGAGATCCTACGCACCATACCAGTGCAGACTCCACCTCACTTCCTGGCTGTTGATGACGACACTGATAGAGTTGTGGTCAGTGGAGGTAACACAAAGAAAGTGGTTGTTGGTGATACCAAAGGTAGAACAATCTGGACGATTAATCCAACCATTAATGGTGAGCCAGTGGGGAACTGCAAGGGTGTATGCTGTGACAGCTCAGGCATCTACCTTGCAATTGCAATGCACCAAGGTGTGTCTGACACTGGTCATATTCACCACTATGACCAAGATGGCAGGTTTCTTAATTGCCTGGCTCAGGGTCTGTATGACCCACAGGGAATCGCATTCACATCGGATGGCCAGCTGGCAGTGGCTGATTGGTTCTCAATCAAGATGTTTCACAAAGTGTGATGTCATCCAACATGACATTGACTACCAATCATCATCATCCCAACAGAAAATGTTGAGGATGAAATTGTCCAGTCATTACAGCACCAATCAACATTCATGCCCTACTCATATCACATCTCTCCTCAAAAATCCAAACTGCAAGATCCCTCTGATGTGGACCATTTTACCATACAAATTCTTAAATAAACAGTGCATCAATTACATTATAATAAAGTCTTATTATATAAACAGTTTTATTGACTACAATTACATTTGATTTGATTGGGGGACAATTTTGTTTTAATCTTGATTAATTTGAAAGGAGAGGGGAGTTTAGTGGGTGTTGAGGTGTTTGAATGTAATGACCCCCGCCTCCTCAACCCAACACCCCTCCCTCACCCAGTACATGGATTGCCATCAATCTATCCAATACTTACCAACTTTATGTGGTGTTTATGAAACCCCGGCTTTGTTGTGGCTTCCGCTTCATCTCTGGCACTAGATTCCTAAGAATCCTACCACATTCAAACTCAGTGAAAATGCACCAACCATCCATTGGCCTTGTGTGACAGGATTTGGTGTCTCTAAAGAAGAAAATGGACCAGTATTGTACTGGAGTTACATCAGGGGACAAAAATCATGAAGCCCTAAGTCAAAGCCAGGGACAAAGCCAAGATTTCATAAACACAATTAAGATTCTTCAATTGTTCCTGATGGAAGTTGCTGTATATATTCTGCTATCTTTATAACCAAGATTTGAGAAATGTTTAGGATCATTTCGTTCTTGAGATTTAACATTCTTAACATTAATTTTGAATAATTAAAACTTTACAAATGCATTACTCAGTTGAATTTTCTGTTAGGATTAGTGTTCAAGATAATGCATTACTCAGTTTAAATACGTGCATATTAGTGTTCAAGATAAGCCTTTATTCACTCAGTTCATTTTGTGTTACTTTTTTGCAGTTTCATGTACAGATTTAATTAATAAAATGCTGCTTTCATGTAAATTGACTTGTCCAAATACATCCTAAAGATGAGCAACAAAGCTCATTCTATTAATGTGGTTTCAGATCTTCATTCACAGAATGGAGAATTGTGCAGTGTTCATGAAGTTTATTTCTTGATCTCATCAGAGGCTTTAAATAGTACAAGCCAAAGCTGGAGACAAAGCCAAGATTTCGTAAACTCCCTGGGATTCTGAAATTTGTTCCTAATGGAATATCTACATGTAATCCATAATATATTGTACTTTTGTTAATAGAACTTTTGAGACAGTTTTACAAGCACTTCATCCTTGAGAAGCAACCATACTACAAGTATTTGGTGAAATAGTATTGTTTGAATTCATTTTAAGCATACGCATCACCATGATAGTTAGTACTTAGATTACTGTTCAATGTAAGCCTTTATTTACTCAGTTTTGACATTACGTTTTGCAGTTTCTGTTTACACATCTTAATTAATGATGCACTTACATATATATTGAAGATGACTTACTTATTGAAATGTTTGCTAAAGATGAGTGAAAATTAATTTGGTTTCCTGTCTTAATTCACAGAATGAAGACTCATTTTTATAAGAATTTTTTTTATCTTGATTTGAAATTTTGTTGACATTTTTTCTCAGACTGTCAAATATCTCTTCAGTTTGAATGATTAGAAATCAATTCGACTGAAGCTGAATTTCAGAAAGCTATACGGCCTCAGTTGCCTTGATTTTGGCCTGACTGCCACCTTGAAAAGGTCCCACACGAATAGCACATTTCTAATTCAATTATTTTCCTCACAAAACAAATAGATTTCTTTGACTTTTCAAGAATTGAATTGCACACGTTTGTTTTCATTGTTTTGCACATTTGGTTGCAGTTTAAAAAAAACCTTGAAAACGAAAAAGAAAACGTCATCAATTCAGTGTGCGTTTCAGCAAAAATTATTAATTTGTTTGCAAAGTATCAATATTATTGTAAAAATTAAATGTTCAAGTAGACTTTTAAGTGTTTAACAATTCACCACTGTATGTAGATCGTAGTAGTCACAACAAGACTTTGTAAACTCCCTTCATGTATATTGTTCAATTTGTTCCTAATAGAACATACATCTACTCATTGTATACTGTGCTATCTCTATATTACATTTTCTGATTATAGAAATTACAGCCTGTGCAATTTTAATTATTCTGTTTTTCTGTTAACTTCACTTTTTAAAGCCATGTAGCATCATTTGCAATTACCCAGATAAGTACCTACCGATTTAATGACAGAAACCTCAAAGTGAAGATTGGACTGGTAACAAATACCCTGTGAAATAATTCCACCTGAAATGGTATTGTCAGAAAACAAACATTGAAGGTGGTTTCAAGATGGGGTGCCTACAGAATCCAGTTACGAGATCCAAAGACTTGTGCATTATGTTTTCTCTGTTTTCTGTTTAGTAGCCACTAAGCTAAGACTTGAACAGAATGCTTGTTATGCACCCTACTTAAAATATTGAGCACTTTTGTTGCTTCGGAAAAAAAACCTGCAAAAAGTAAATGATACCTTAAAGCATGTACATCATAATAAAAGTTAATCAAGATAACTTAAAAAATTAGTCCTTTTTTAATATTCACTAAGTTTCTTTAAAAAAGTTGGTAGTTTTTTGGTTTCATTTTTGTAGTTTTTCATAGAAATCATGTTTATTGTTATTATTTACAAGCTTTGTACATTTGCATTTATATCAATGAAACACTAATGTGGATGATAATGTAATCATCAAAATGTCTGCTTAAGATGAGCACAAATACTTTTCCTATTAATTTGGTTTCCTGTCTGAATTCACAGAATAAAGACTTGTTTGAACTTTACTCACAAGGGATTATCTTGATGAAAATCTTTATTATTTCTCTTTGAAGGTTACAAATTCTTTAAGTTGGAAAGGTTGCCACTCATTGTAACAAATGTTCAAATCAATGTTATTGAATTTCAGGACGCTATGGCCTCCGTTGCCTTGATTTTTGCCTGACTGCCTCCTTGAAATGTCCTTGCCTTTTCAAGAGTTAAATTCCAGACCTCTGTTTTCATTGTTTTACTTATTTGGTTGCAATTTCAGCAAACTTCAAAGCAATGAAAGAATTACCCCCTCATACAGTTTGAGTTTCAGCAAAGAATTATTAATTTTGATGACACTTTTCAAACTCTGTTGTAACAATTAAATATCCAAACTGACTTGTAAAATCAGATGTTTTGAAATGAAATGAACAGAAATAAATTAATTCATTATTCAGAATAAGAATTCACTCACCACTCTTTGTAGTTCTTTGTAGTAGCTCTTTTCTTCATCTAACAATTAAAAAGAAAAGTCATGCCTTACAATAACTGTATTGTTATTCCACTTGGAACGCTCAACCCCCAAAGAAACCCACAAAGTAAAGTCTCCTGAATCCAACATAATCCCACAACTCAGATGAACCATACAACAGGAATGGACCACTGTGGAATTTGCTTGAAACTATCACATGTGGTTGAATGTGTGAATAACTTAATTTTTTCCCAAGTTTCGGCAATAACAACATTCATGAATTATTTTTGGATTACCTTTGTTTGATACATAAATACGCAGACAATTTCATGAGTGGATTCCAGCCGGCCAAATACAATCCAGAATTCTTGGACCGGTCTGCAAGTCTTCATAGCCGCACGACAAGGTCAATGGTTTCACCTTTTCATCAGATCCCCAACAGTAAAAGTTGCACAGCGCCCTCTTTTGACGATGGCTCTCCCTCCCTTAATTATTGAGTGTCTGTGATTTTTTTGCATTGATGATATTTAAACTTATAATATAAATAACAAATTATTGCCTCTTTGGCCATTTTCATAGACATTCCAACAAATTTCTTTCAGAATCTGTTCTGTGAAAAGGATTTTAAAAACCACTTTATCGTTTCCCTACAAATTAACTTTGGCTGTACCTTGCAATTTGCCAGCTGGAACCCTGACCATGCAATACGGTCCGTGTTAGTCATCTTCACTTGATGACTAATATGGGTCATTCTAGACATTGAGGGTCCAAAGTGTGACATCATTCCTGTGCCTGTGACCTCTGAACTTTGTAACTTGCCATTCAAGTATCATTACAAATGACGTCCATTGTTGATTTGTTGGGAGAGTTGTTTGCTTTCATAATCACTCTTGAAACCTGACTGCATTAAAGAATTCATGCAGAATAAAAACCAACATACATGTCAGGTGTAACACGGAAAGCAAAAGAAATGTTATTTTCTTTAATTTATTGCATGCCCCATATGCATGTATTGATGGATGGGATTCAATTTGGTTTTTTTTCTTTTTAACTTTTCAATGGACCATCCACCGAGACATTTTTCCTTCTTTAGTTGAAAAGGAAACGAAGATGCCAGCTCCTCACAGCTGCTAAAATGAGTGCCATTACTGTTTTTTATTTACATAATTATTGTCCAGTAGGCCAGATCATGCCACATTGAATGTAGTGCTACCTAATTGTGTGATGTGTCCAAAATTATGCTTATTGAACAGCTCCCCCCCCCCAATAGTCAGATGGTGTTCAGCCCTTAACTCCCCCCCCCCCAAAAAAAAACATTAAAACAAATGTGAGATTTCACAAATTAAACAAATGATTCATATTTTCCTCATTGTTTGGTCTAAGTTTTGGTCTCGATACATGTATATAATGACTTGGTCTCAGAGTTGGAGGTCTGGACTAATGTTGTGCATCGGGTCGGGCTGAGCAGGCCGATCCGACCTGAAACATTATAGGTATAGAATCTGAACCGAAACCGATCTGAACTCTCAAAATCCAACCCGACCTGACCTGACCCGACCCAACGCAACAAAAATTCAGGGAAAAAAAACGACCCCAACTGACCAAAGTCAGTTTTGGTTTGGGTCAGTTTGGGGTCGCGTTTGCACAACATTAGTCTGGACTACATCACTGCATGCATCAGGGGCGGAGCTAGCTTGCAGGAAATGCATGGAGATGGGGGGGGGGGGAGGGTTCGTGATATTTAAGTGCATTATGCCCCTCCAATAGGGCGTCTAGGGGCATGCCCCTTCCGGATTCAAAGGCAATTTCAGAATAACTTTAGGAAATTTTGGTCAAATTCTGGTATTCTTGGCCCTATTTTACTAGTATCATAACATATTGTTCAGTGGCCGAATGGGGGCTGGGGGGGGGGGGGGTTACCCCCCCCCCCCCCATTAGATCCATCATCCCCTGATTACATTCCTTGACTTATGTTGTACTTACATGAGATTGTTTATCTGCAGTAGATTGACAAAGATGGCTGGTAGCAGGCTGGCTGTATCTGCCTTTCTCCCTGGCTGGGTGAGTCAGGACTGTTGAAAGGTTGCCATCATCTAGGATGCCATGAAGGTTCTGATGTCTCTTATGGAAATCTCTTCAGAAATCCACTGTCTAAGCCCAGCTGAATGGGTTATCATTCTCAATATGAACTACTCTCAACTCTGGAGTAGGCGATGTTCCCAAAGTGTGGACAGAAGCGCACTGTCAAATAAAAGTAGACATGTTTCAAGTGTTTCATTATGCAGGGTCTCATTTACATCTCATGATGCATTCTTATTTACATTTCCCAATGTCACTGTTCTGGGCATTCAGGCAGCTTGGGTTCCTACACTCTGCCTTGACTTGTCTCATGTTGAACTCGAATACAGAAAATACAGGCAAACTCTTGAAACACTGAAAACACAGACGATCAAAAACAGAATGTGACATTGGTGGCATTTCTACAGCTCTTTATCAAGGGTAGCATCTCTGGGTATGGACTCCTTGCACAAGTACCCCCTCAACGGTTACAAAGGGAGAGTTGGGGGAGACAACTTGAAAGCATTGCCAACAGCGCCTGGCACTCATGTGAAAATGTTACAGGTTGGATAAGATTCAGAATAAAATAAGTCATGCGTACTTTGCGCAGTCCGCATATGAACCAGCACGTGTAGGCAGTATGGCCCTCCCACTGGGGCTCTCAAAAGTGCTGCAAAGATCTTGAGAAAATGAGGCATCAGATCAAATCATATGCAATGATCACTGTCAGGCAAAGTCACTTACATGTACTGGCTGACAGTCAGGCATTGACTGGCTTGTTCATCAGGCTATAGTTCCAAACTACTCAGTTGGGTTTCACATTCAGTTGGCTTGTAGGACTGCACTGGCTGGCCAACTGACTGACAGTGACAGACAGGTAGTCATCAATGGTCAGAAGAGATGAAAGTCTGATGTTGGTCAACTGACATCTATTCAATTCTGAAAAACAAAAATGAACCCTACAACATTATCATTGGCAGTTTGGAAGTTAATAGTTTGGAAATGATGATTTGGCTGGTACTTTGGCACATTGCTGGCTGTGACTTAGCCTGTACATGTACATGTAAGCCATGGACCATTTGCACAGTTCTGATTGTTTCTCTGTAATATGGCTGGAGTTACATACAGCCTTCCTGACAGAAATCAACATGAATGGGCATTTGGAGATGAAATATAAATCATGGTCTTCACTTCTGCAAAGACTTGCTTGTTCATGCGACCTCAAATTTTTTTAACCAATAATGAATGCACATAGGCTATAAAACAATTCTGGATTGTCTGGTGTGTAAAATCTGAATCACACTGAATTTACATCTGAGATGAAAAATTATATTACGCAAAATTGTCACTGCTTGACCGTAAAATTGTCAAGGAATTTAGTTGGGTTTGTTGACCTAAGGCCAAAAAAAAGAATAGTTCTGCTTCCGGTTACCCGACCGACCCTATTTTTAGGCTGCAACCCTAAAAATGTTATCGGCAATTTAAAAAAAAAAAAAAAAAAAATTTAATAAATAAAAATAAAATCTTGTTGTCTTTCTGTCTTCACTAAATACCTCTCAACAACCCTTTTGCATCAAAAAATGCTTGTATTTATTTGTTTTCTTACCTACATAAGGTTTTTTTCAGAAGAAACCTCCGTTATTTGTACAAATTCGCTTCGTGATATGACTACTTCGCAATTCCATATCACGGTGACTATAATCATGTGCGTAAACCGAGCTCAATGCGGCGACGACTTGTTCCTGCCACGCCCCGCAGGTGCCAATTTAGAAGACATGATGAAAATGCGGTAACTAGTCTGTGCACGACTATGCAATCGATAGCGATAGCATGGCTGTGCATTGCAGGCCGGTGCACGGTCAACTGGTCAGATTCGACATCGTAAAAATGCCAAGAAAACACCAATGGAGAAAGAACATTTTTGCAAGTTAATTCACAGAATTGATCTGGCTTGTCTGTGTATGTATTTTCCGTGTTCAAGAGTTCATTTTGAGATCACACTACTTGTATTTGACGTGATACAATGCAGCGTGTTTCCTGAAATTTTCGACCATAAAACGAGGTCTGTTGGCTGCGCGACACAAATGCACAGTGCATCACACACTTTGGAGTTTTGGCCAGCTTCCTGTCTTGACTAGCGTTGTGCATATGGTGCGAACGACCCAAATTTTCCATGATTTTTTACGAATTATCAAAGGTAAACATATTGACAATAGTTAAGGTAGGTTTTATTTACTTTTTGTGGCCATTTTGTGTATAGCTTTCGTAGTGCAATGGAAATAGTTCAGGCTAAAACTTTGCACATAATTGAATACCCCATTCAATCTGCATTAAAAAAAATTGGCAAAAAAATAAAAATTCCGACCGACCGACCCTATTTTTGAAAGGCATGTAATTGGAAGCAGAACTATTTTTTTTTGGCCTGACAGATGTGAAATCAGATGGCTTTTTGGAAGGAGTGTTACTTCTTACTGTGAGCAATGGGGGGATTAGGGGTGTAGATGTAACTTGTAACATGGTCACTTGCACATTGGTTTTCATTTACACTTGACACAATATTATGCAAAGAGCAGAAACAAGCCTGAATTTGGTGGCATTAGTTTGTCTAAAAGTAATACACAAAGTATGTGTGTTTGGATAAATATGAAAGAGTCAGTTTCTTTTAAGGCAAATACACAATACACGTATATTTTGGGGTTTGGGGCGTTGAAACTTTTCCAGTTTTGAATCAAAAGAGTACAAATAGTATACAACTGCAAGAAATTATTTCACCAAATATGAAAAGACCAATGAACTTATCTCAGGTCCAAGATACAAACTCAAGTGTAGAGTAAACATGTCAGCAAACAAACAAGATAATGAACTGTATATGTATGTTGCATCCAGCACTTGTCCCCCAAACTCCCCAAGCTCTATATATAAACCATGTCACGTTACTTGATGATGATTCTGTGTTTGCCAGTGCCATCTCTCTGGGATCCGCCCCCTCAAAAGCTTACCACTGTTCACACTCTTAGCATTTTCCAAATGAAAGCACGTTCAAAACCATTTTGTTATTATTATCAATAGTTTGTCAAGTCAGAACTTAATGACAACAAGAATTCAAAGTTACTTCAATTCCATTTTCATTTAGTTACTCAACATTTAATGCAAGGTTTTATTAACAAGATTATAAATGGATTGACTGACCTGGGTGTCATCTTCATTGTTTATTGTGTACATGTACCATCACCTGAAAGAGACAATTATTTTAAAACAAAAGTAAAAGTCATTTCATGTAAGTACTTGAGTGTCCACGGAAAAAAAAAACTCTTCATAAAAGAGCAAAGGAAATCTGAATTTGGTGGCACTCGTCTGAAAGTAATTTACAAATAATTTGGTTTGCTAGATTCAGGATGATGTTCTTTTTATACTCAATTTTAATTAGAAAGAAAGGAAAACGTACCTGAACATAGGGTTTTGAAAAAAAAAATCATTTCTGGATTGATGCTGCAAAAAGAGTATGCAGTTGCCCAAGATTTTTTCACCAAATATGAAAAGACAAATATATAAACATCTCATCAAAGCCAACAGCAAAGTATTCTGAGTGCCCAGCTGGCAACTTGCATTTTTTTTTGGGGGGGGGGAGAAATGGAGTTCAAAATGCAACTTTTCTAGTTGTGAAAACATGTGCTACATTAGGGCTAAAAAGATAGATGAATTTTAAGAAGTGCAATGTACATACATGTCAGGGTGAGGCTGTGTAGTGATATAGTTAATGTTGTGACATTGGTTTGCATTCAGGCTGGGTGGCCTTTCAAAAGAAAGCAACAAAATCTATTAGTAGCGAGTCAGTAAATTGGCCCAAAATGTAGTTGCAGTGAGCCCGTAAATTGCACAAAAATTACAAAACACATGCCCTGTTACTATGGCAATGGTCCTGGTACGGATTCTTAAAGACTTTGGTTATTTTACTCCCAAGTCCAATCAAGTTGGAACAATCAAGTTTTGATCGTGGACACTAATATGAAAGATTGACATGAAACAACTCTTCAGACAGGTTGGCAATTTGACAACTGAAAATTCTGACTGAAGCTGGTTTGTGAGCTAGGTCCAAGGAATTCACACCTTCTATAGAAATCCAAACTTGTTCATTGGGACTTTTTACAAACAGAACACAAAATGAGAGATTAAACGAGTCCATTATGTCACAGAATGGAAGGACAAGTATGCACAGGTACATGTATTAACACCTCATTTGATGAAACAAGTTTGGAATGACATGTACAATGCACATATGTATGGACACTGATGGTCGCAGGCCAGTAAATAGGCCCAACATTGCCTATGCCGGCCAAATTAGGATTTGTACGCCCTCATGTTTCGCTATCATCATTTTGTGGGCCATGAAATTTCAGGTTTGTAAAAAAAGAAGAAAGGTGGAAGCTGTGAACAGGACTGCCAGCTCGTATTTCTGTGTAATTTGGATGAATTAAGCCCTAAAATTGCTCCATTTTGCAATGCAGCATAGGCATCAGTTTTCAAAATGGCGAAAGGTTTTCGGGACTTAATTTTAGGGGTGATCATCTCTGGATGGACATTTCTCACAAACGTCATCTGATTACCAAAACAAAATTGAACACAAAATGAAAGATGATGAAATCAGTTTTAATTTGATGTGTCTTTAACACCTTGAAGGCTTGCGAGTATTTTTTCCTGAATTTTGGAAGTGGGGGTATCTATCACTGGGGTCTATGGCAGTTTATTTCAGTAGTCTGCAACCTGATGGTGTACGTGTACATGTACACGTATGCAAGTCCAAAATCAACCTAACTCAGGTCCAAGATACAAACTCAAGTGTAGAGTAAACATGTCAGCAAACAAACAAGATAATGAACTGTACATGACTCAGATCTGGGATCCGCCCCCTCTAAAGGTTGTGACTATTCACACTCGTTGCATCAAAGTGGAAAACTTCTCACAATTCCCCCCCCCCCCTAAAAAAAATGTCTTTCAGTGACTTGACTTCTCAATTCCTTCAAGGATAACTGAGGTCACATCTGGGAATAAACAGGAATCAAACCAGGGGTCAACAGAAAAGAAAACAAGCAGTAGGATCTGAACCAAAGACTCCTCAATTCCTTCAAGGATAACTGAGGTCACACCTGGGAATAAACAGGAATCAAACCAGGAGCCAATAGAAAAGAAAACAAGCAGTAGGATCTGAACCAAAGACTCCTCAATTCCTTCAAGGATAACTGAGGTCACACCTGGGAATAAACAGGAATCAAACCAGGAGCCAATAGAAAAGAAAACAAGCAGTAGGATCTGAACCAAAGACTCCTCAATTCCTTCAAGGATAACTGAGGTCACACCTGGGAATAAACAGGAATCAAACCAGGAGCCAATAGAAAAGAAAACAAGCAGTAGGATCTGAACCAAAGACTCCTCAATTCCTTCAAGGATAACTGAGGTCAAACCTGGGAATTAACAGGAATCAAACCAGGGGCCAATAGAAAAGAAAACAAGCTGTAGGATCTGAACCAAAGACTCCTCAATTCCTTCAAGGATAACTGAGGTCACACCTGGGAATAAACAGGAATCGAACCAGGGGTCAATTGAAAAGAAAACAAGCAGTAGGATCTGATGCAAAGATTCACCAGATTCAAACCAGACAGCCCTAACATGAAACTTCCAAGCATTAAGTACATGTAGGATCACTAGTCATCAAATCTAGCTGATCGATGCAGTGATTATTTCCAGACAACTCTTACTTGACTTGAGACGTTTACAGGCCGTCATCTTCTTGACTCCTCATCGTCTCTCAGCCAACATTCTCTCAAGGTCAATTCTAACTCAAAGTTTGGGTTTTTGGTTGGTCAAAATGATAACTTCAAATAGATTGAAACTTCTTTATCAGTATTTATAGCACAAGATAAAAGAAATTTTAGTGTGTGTATGAAAGATTTGAGGAAAAAATATGTTTATAACTTTTTTATTTGAGGTTAAAGAGAAACTGGTGGGATTAAATGTATGGTGAGGTGCATGCGATTGTAATTTAACAAAGTGCAGCATGTACATGTAGACATAATGCATGAACCTATCTAGGGTCCAAAACTCAAGTGTCAAGTAAATATGTACACAGATAAGCACATATACAGACTGTACGTGTGTGACGTACATGTACATGTATGCAGCAAAACAAAAATCCCAAGCTCTATATATAAACCATGTCACGCGACTTGATGACTATGCTGTGTTTGCCCAGCGCCATCTTTACCAGATCCACCCCATCAAACGCCTTAACTGCTAGTGCTCTTACATCAAAGTGAAAAAACTCTGTCTTTGAGTGATTTGACTGGGAATTTAAAAGAGGTAAGAAAAGAGTGTCAGTTATTTTGAATGAGGTTAAATGCTCGCTTTCCGTTACAAGTGTAGGAATCACAGTTTGCCTTAAACAACAAAATGTGAAGAGTGCATACAGTTGTAATTATTCCAACAAAACCAACATGTATATTTAGTAATAACCAGATCAGGGCACAAGCTACCGTTCACGTACCAGAGCTCTTCAAAAAATCAGAGCTCTTCAAAATTTGATAGGAATTCCAAAAAAAATTGATGTCTTTTTCAAAAGTGGATACATGTAAATACAAAATAACAAATGGAAATAAAACTTTGGGTTTTTTTGCCCAAATAAAACTCAAACAGACAGTACAGTATTAAAGAAGTTACATCTCTTGTATTATAACCATTTCAATTTCATTTTAAATACTCTTTGTAAACAGATAAAATGGCTACAGCTCTAAACATCGGTCCCCATCTTGAATGCGACATATGCGCAGACAAATATAAACAGCCGAAGGTGCTGGATTGCATGCATAGTTAATGTAAAAATTAACCCAACTCAGGTCCAAGATACAAAGTGTAGAGTAAACATGTCAGCAAACAAACAAGATAATGAACTGTACATGACTCAGATCTGGGATCCGCCCCTTCTAAAGGTTGCGACTATTCACACTCGTTGCATCAAAGTGAAAAATCTATGACAATTTCTCACAAATTGTCTTTCAGTGATTTGGTTTCTCAATTCCTTCAAAGATAACTGAGGCCACACCTGGGAATAAACAGGAATCGAACCAGGGGCCAATAGAAAAGAAAACAAGCAGTAGGATCTGAACCAACACTCCTCAATTCCTTCAAGGATAACTGATGTTACACCTGGGAATAAACAGGAATCGAACCAGGGGCCAATAGAAAAGAAAACAAGCTGTAGGATCTGAACCAAAGACTCATCAATTCCTTCAAGGATAATTGAGATCACATCTGGGAATAAACAGGAATCAAACCAGGGGTCAGTGGAAAAGAAAACAAGCAGTATCATCTGAACCAAAGACTCCTCAATTTTGCAAGGATAACTGAGGTCACATCTGGGAATAAACAGGAATCGAACCAGGGGTCAATAGAAAAGAAAACAGGCATTAGGATCTAAACAAAGATTCACCAGATTCAAACCAGACAGACCTAACATGAAGCTTCCAAGACAGTAAGTGCATGTAGGATCACTCGTCATCAAATGTAGCTGATGCAGTGATTATTTCCAGACAACTTTCATTCTTACTTGACTTGAGACGTTTACCGGGCGTCATCTTCTTGACTCCTCATCGTCTCTCAGCCAACATTCTCTCAAGATCTTCCTTCAATTTCTTCCTGATGTCATAGAACCCAGGATGAATCCTGCCAAGAACCTGACCATGTTCCTTTAGTTGTCTCATCTTGTTGTCAAAGGAGTTTGAGGTGATGCCTTTCACACCCTGGAAACAAACCAGACAGGATGACAGTTTTGTTACCATGGTTACAAATAGATGCATTCAATAAAGAATATATTATAAGATTGAATTTTGCGTCGGGGTGATATAAATCAAATGAGGTTTTGCCCTGCACCGACGTTTTAACACTGTATACTCAGTGTGTTACCTCCCGAGTGAAAGTTGGAAAAAATCACTCGGGTGGGACTCGAACCCACAAGTTTGTTTCCAACTTTCACTCGGGAGGTAACACACTGAGTATACAGTGTTAAAACGTCGGTGCAGGGCAAAACCTAATTTGATAAAGAATGTAGTTTTGCTACACTGTTTCAACATTATGTTGGTTCCCCTCCTCTAAAACTCACACTCCCACAAAGGTTTGCGTAGATTGAGGACTTCCCACTGTCCTTCTGATGGCTTTTGTTTGGGTAACTTTTGGCAACTCCTTTCATTTGATTTGTGATGGTTTTCAACTGAGGACATAGTGTCCTCTTATGTACAGTCAATTCTGTTGACAAATTTAAAACTGAAAAAAAAAAACCCAATTGGTCCAAATTCAAATTTGAATTGATTGAACATTTTTCATCAGTATTTATAACACTGGAGAAAAAGAAACTGCAGTAAGTGTGTGGAGTAAGAAAAGAAATTTGAGAGAAATATTTTTACAATGTATTTTATTTGGTGTTTGAAAAAAATTAGTAGAATTAAATGGATGCTTAGGTGTATGTGATTTGAAAATTTAGCCAAATGCAGCATGTACTGAACATGAAGACAATGCATGAACCTACAAGTATCTAAGGTCCAAAACTCAAGTGTCAAGTAAATATGTACACAGATAAACAGATATACAGATTGTGCAAAACTAAAATCCCAAGTCATGTCACATGACTTGATGACGATGATGTGTTTGTCCAGCGCCATCTTTACCAGATCCGCCTCATCAAACGCCTCAACTATTTGCTCTTTACGTCAAATTGGAACAATTTTGTTTTTGAGTGATTTGGTGGGAATTTAAAAGAAGTAAGAAAATATTGTCAGTTATTTTGAATGAGGTTAAATGCTAGTGGGCACAAACTATCACAGCTCTTCTAATGTCAGAGCTCTTTAAAATTTGACAGGAATTCTAAAAAAAAAAAATAAAAAAAAATTGATGTATTGTTCAAAAGTGGATACATGTATCTAACTACAAAATAGCAATTGAAAATAGATTTGTCTTTTTGGCCCGGGTGAAACTCACACGGACAGTGCAATATTACTGTATTATAAAAAGTTACATCTCTGTATTATAACCACTCCGATTTCTTTTTAAATACTTTTTGTATACAGATAAAATGGCTACAGCTCTAAAGACGATCAGCTCGCTCGAGTGTGACATATGTCACGATAGATATGAACAGCCTAAGATGTTAGATTGCCAGCATAGCTTTTGTACGGAATGTCTGGAGAAATACTACACTAGCAGGTATGAAGGGCAACGAAAGATTCCTTGCCCTTTATGTCGACGGGAGACGGTACTTCCAGAGACACAGATTCGAGGCCTGAAAACAAATTTCCATTTGATGGGTATAGTTGAGGAGGTCTCACTCCAAGAAAAGGTGGCTTGTTCAGAAAACACAAAGGTCATCTGTGAGATTTGTGATGCGGGAAATGAGGCCATGCATCGATGTCTGGACTGTGCACAGAATATCTGCCCAAACTGTCGCAAGATACACTTGCGATGTACTGCTACATCAAACCATACAATGGCTACTTTGGAGGATATTCGTCAGGGGAAGGTAACAGTGAAAAAAAAAACAGAAAAAGATGAGTCTAAATGCCACAAACACAAGGGGGAAGTGAAACGCTTTTACTGTGAGACATGTGAAGAGTTAATTTGCCGAGATTGTACTGTAGTAGACCACTGTAAACCAGAGCATCACTACATTGACTCTGGAGAGGCTTCTCGCAAATACAAACAGTCACTGAAAGATATGTTTTCAGACTTCACCACAGGCATCAAAAGACTTGAACAAGCTTTGACCACTTCATCACAAGCTAAGCAGAAGTTTACACAGAAAGTCACAAAGACTGTGAAAGCTGTGAAAGACAAAGCGGATAAAATGAGAGCTGAGATAACAACTCAAGAGACAAAGATGATTGAAGAAATCAAACAACTCCAGCAGGATCGCAACAAAACATATGATGAGCATCAAAACACACTTACATTGATGCTACAAAATAAACAACATTCGCTGGGGACATCCCAGGATATCATAAACACTGCATCTGACAGTGATTTTTTGTCCCTATACCCTATCATCAGCAAAGACTTGAAATCACTCAAGAGTCAAAATCCTCCCCAGATTGATCCCAAGCTTTCATATCTGAGCTTCACCCTGGGTCAGAGGATTGGTGACATCAATCTGGGCAAGCTTGAGGTGGAAGCAGTCAAGTGGGAGATGTGTCGTGAGTTTGGTACAAAGGGAAGTGATCCAGGAAAGTTCAATGGAGCTCGGGATGTTACTGCTACTCAACCTGGTGAGATTGCTGTGGCAGACAGTTTGAACAACCGAGTGGTCATTTGCAGCAATGAGGGACAACACAAGGGAACCATTCCCGTACAATGTAAGTTTCTTTCATGCACATGTTCATCAACACAAACTTTCATAATTGTGTGTAAATTATAAGTAAGTCTTCCATGTGCACATGCAGATCTGACAACTGAGAATGAAAAACAATAAAATACTGGCAAGGAATTGATATGCTGGCAGTGCTCTCCAACACATTTGATTTTGTTCTCCCGACAAAACTTCAATTTGTTTTTCTTTACGTGAAGGCCTATGTTTAAAAAAAATCACACACTGACACACACATACACAAAAAACCTACAACAAAACTTCTATTTATTTCATTACTGATTTCAGTTTGTTTGGAAGAAAAACTGTTTTTATTTTTGGGTCTGTAACCTTTAGAAAAGTGTGAAGTTGCTTTGCAAACAAACCAATCTGCCGTGTGAGTAGAATGTTCTACCCAGTAAACAAAACACCGGAAAAGAACCTGTTTTGGGGAGAGAGTTTTTAGTGAATTTTTGGTTTGGTAGTTTTTAAACCAAATTTTCGCGTTTTTATAATGTGATTTTTATTAATTATAAACGGAAATATGCTTTCTCGTTCCAATGGCACTTGGAAATTACCTACTAATCACGCGAATAAAGAAATGTGATTCCGGAAGGTTTTTATAACTAGTGCGAATCGCGTTATGATCACTATATATTCACTTGACCAAATATGACATGTTTTTAAATCGTCTTTATATGGTGGTGACAAAAGGAGATCATTTCACTTTTGAAGCACCAATACTTCTGGTTTTACAGTTTCCACGAATATCCGGTGATTATAACATTATTATTATCTATTCATTGCCTAGACTATTTACCACTGTATTTGACGTAATTATTTGGTGTATATAACAAGTAATTTTTTTGTTACTAAAACACCAATAGATTTGGTTCTTTAGTTGCCAGTAATTCATTAGTGATCTTCATGTTATTGTTGTCTCTAGTTATTTACCTAGGCATCTTACTGCTCGACATAACGTTAGTATTTAGTGTATGCAAAATGGTTATTATGTCGTTTTTTGAAGACAAATGGATTTGCTTGTACAGTTACCAGTAATTCATTAGTGATCTTCACGTTATTGTGCCTTGTTATTTACCTAGGCATCTTACTGCCTTACATAACATAATTATCTAGTGTGTGTAAAATGTTATTTTTTTATTTTTTAAAGACCAATAGATTAGGTTGTACAGTTACCAGTAATTCATTAGTGATCTTCACGTTATTGTATCTTGTTATTTACCTAAGCATCTTACTGCTCTACATAACGTCAGTATTTAGCGTGTGTAAAAGATTATCATGTCGTTTTTTTAAAGACCAATTTACTTGTACAGTTACCAGTAATTCATTAGTGATCTTAACGTTAGGCCAAAAAAAATAATAATCGGTCTCTGGTCAGACCTAAGTTCCGGAATTGATGCGGTGACGCATGTTTTCTTTTTTGGTTTTTTGGGGTGGCTTATACAGACAAGGTGGGTACTATTTTGCTTTTTTGTGTCCTCATTATACATTGGTGCCCTCCATAATTTGCCTTGGTGCCCTTCATCATTCGCCTTGGTGCAATTTCCCCATTCCTTGGTGCTCCTTGGAACAAAAATTTGAGGCGGTGCGGCAATAGAGGGCACTGTTGTACATAGCTTCCGTGTAAATTTGAAGAAAGAAAAAAGGTTGGCGCGCATGATTAAAATCGATGCGCACGCTGACCAGAGACCGATATTTTTTTGTTTTGGCCTTACTAAGCATCTTATTGCCCCTCACAACGTAAGTATTTAGTGCGTGTAAAAGGTTGTTATGTCGTTTTTTAAAGACCAATAGATCAATCAATTTTGTGCCACTTTTATGCATGGGCAGAGTTCTTTCGAGTACTGTGCCATGCTGTCTTGAAGCTCACAAAAGATTGCAACTTGGCGAAAGAAACAAACTCAATTTTTGTGTTCCGCAGTAAACTGGAGTTATCTCTGGATTCACAAAAGCAAATGAGATGAAACAAAAAGTATTGGAAAGCCTGGTCTTTTTTCTTTATATGTAAATGCTCAAAACGACTTAATTATGTTGAGATTTAATATGGAAAAAAAAAATCATTTTCGATTGTACCATTTTTTTTTAGACAGCCTGTAGTGTGTGTAAAAGGTAATTTTTTCATTTTTTAAAGACCAATGGATTGTTTCACTTAAGTTACATGTTGACTCGAGGTGGGCGTGGTAAACCTTGGTGAAGCAATTGTGCCACTTTTTGGCCATGAACGATATGTTTTGCGTAATAGCGGTATGTTTTAGGATGTTTTTATGTAGTGAATGTTATAATATTTAGCTGTTCAAAGTCTCAATGAAACAAATTTGCCAAAAAACCCCCAAAAAACAAAGCAAATAAAATATTTTTTTACGTGCAAACTGTGAGTTTAAAAATTATTTGAATAATAACCAATATTAATTGAGTTTCAGGATACCTGAGTTTCAGGTATCGCCGAACCTTGGAAATTGCAATATACATGTAACTAAACTTAATTCACACCACATTGGTAACGTGTCATGATGACATCAGCAGGTATCAAATTACAAGAAATTTTATTTCAAAAAGTGACCGTTTTGTTTCATTCGTAACTCCTGAACAAAGCCAAAATCTTGTTCACATTTTGTGATCTGATGGACCATCCATTGATGAACCATGTTTTTTTCCCTGTGTACACGTGAAGTTGCCTGACCTTCTGGTGTTGACAGTCAAATTAAAGTTAGGTGAATTCAAAATACTAAAAGCAGCATGAGTTTAAAAAATGGATTTACTCTGTAACGGGTCAAGGTATGAAGAAACAAGTCAGGTGTGTTTACAAACACAAATGCCCCGCAACCGTGACTGTTCCCATGACATAACACCACTCTTTTAACATCAACTTACATGTACCTTGGTCACATGGAACATTCATTGACAGCATTAGTGTCTTCTCTAGGTTTTATATGAATTAGTCCCTAATCCCTATAATCTCAGAATAAATACAAGATTTCTATTGTTTTAGCCACTGTGAACTTGACCTTTGACCTTTTGGCCCCAAATGCAAAAGGCTTCTTAGGATTACCAAGAACAATCCACAAACCCAATTGGAAGTTCATATGTTAAGTATTTCTCAAGTTATCGCGCTGACAAGATTTCTATTGTTTTAGCCACTGTGAACTTGACCTTTGGCCTTTTGGCCCCAAATGCAAAAGGCTTCTTAGGATTACCAAGAACAATCCATAAAATCAAATTTGAAGTTCATATGTTAAGTATTTCTCAAGTTATCGCGCTGACACAATTTATCCGGACACACACCCACACACCCACACACACACACACACACCCACCCACCCACACTTGTTTCACATGATTAGTGTGGACTTTCCATTGCTTTCGTGTAGTTAAGAAAAACCAGTGAAAAAACTCATTTTTCTCAAACTGTGAAAACTCTTTCGACCCAATTTTTTTTCTAGGATTCCCTTTAGTGTTTCTCTTCATTCTGCTACACATAAACCTAACCCAAAAATGCCTCTAAACCTGTTTTCCAGAAATGGGGAAACACTGTGTGGACGTGGGCAAGTCCACACAACGTCGGTGCTACCTACATTATGTGGACGTCTTTTGTTCGGAAGTCCACACTGCGTATGTAAGACAAGCTCACCCCCACCCACCCACACACACACCCACCCACCCACCCACCCACGGAAGGACAAGGCGGAAACAGTATGCCCCTTCGGCTTCGCCGCGGGGCATAAAAACTTTGTACAAACATGCACTGTTGTACACAGATGTGACAGAAATTGTGACATCATACAATGACACCACCATATCAAATCAGAAGTGATCTAAAGGAACACTAGGCCTACATCCTGGAAAACACCCAATTAGGGCTACAAAGAGCATTTAAAAATAGGATATAAACGTCTACACAACCATCCTTGACAAATTGGCGGTTTTTGTTATTCTTGCAAGAACAAATTTTGGGGGTCAAAATTTTGACTCTCAAAAATGTGTCATTCTGTGTCAATTCAACACGATTTTGGACCTGACCCTCACAGATTGAAACGATTTGGTGTGATGACTGGCCTGTATATGAGAAACCCCCAGAACTGATTTTTTTTTTGTAGTTTGGCTCAACGAACTTTTGACTAATTAGCATGACCTCCGAACTTTCAATACTTGTATCTCCAAAACTAAAGCAAATACAAAGCCAAATTGTACATCATATTAAAGCTCTCTGAATGGCCTCCATGAAGCACAGAGAAAATGCGCTACAAAATGACCTTTGACCTTAAATTACAAAAAAAATCAGTATGCTTCAAGTTTCTTTTTTTTTCTCAGTTGTTAGTTTATGATGTAAGCACCAATCTTGGAACATTTTGTGAAAGGTGTCTTAAAGTTTGCAAGGACTAAATTGTTATTGTACAGTTTGTTATTATACAATTATTTGATGACTAAAAATGGGGTTTATGTTGTTCAATTAATGCTTCATTTGAAAATTGAACAACCTTATTGTTAAAAATAAATTAGCGATACGGGTAAATATAAGACTAATCTATTTTGATGTTTGAACGATGAGAATAGCACAGAGAGTGCATCAACTTTATAAAAGACTTTGCAAAACTGTATCTCCAAGACATTGCAGTTATTCACAATAAATACATGTATGGTGGTTGAAGACTGCACAATGTTCATGTAGGCCTATTCATTCTACATGACCAGGCTTTATGGCACGCCATGTTATCATTATTATAGGTAGGTTATCATAGGTATTATATTTCATGAGGACTGAGAATAGTGACAGTGCATTTATATACTGTGCATATGTTACATTTGAGTTCTTCTTTACCCACAGGTCCACTGGCAGTTGCAGCCATCCACAATCCTGAGCAACGCTTGCTTGTGTTGGAAGATGGAAGCAAGTATGTCAAGGTGTTCAACATGAAGGACAACACTCTTGTTATGCAGTTCCCAACAGTGTCTAAACATCAGGTAGACAAGACAAAAGTGAACCTATCGAGTCTAGCAGTAACAAAGAATAGCATCTTAGTAGGTGACATCGACAATATGGTGTGGACTGAACACAAACCCACCAATGGTGAGATCCTACACACCATACCAGTGCAGACTCCACCTTGGTTCCTGGCTGTTGATGATGACACTGATAGAGTTGTGGTCAGTGGATGGAACACAGAGAAAGTGGACATTGCTGATAGCAAAGGTAAAACACACGCCACATTTCATCCAACCATTAATGGTAACCCAGAATGGTGCCGTGGTGTATGCTGTGACAGCTCAGGCATCTACCTTGCAGTGAACAAAGGTGAGCCTTACACTGGTCATATTCACCACTATGACCTAGATGGCAGGTTTCTTGATTGCCTGGCTCAGGGTCTGCATTTACAACAGGGAATGAGATTCACATCAGAGGGCCAGCTGGCAGTGGCTGATTGGTTCTCAATCAAGATGTTTCACAAGGTGTGATGTCATCCAACATGACACTGACTAGCAATCATCATCATCCCAACAGCAAATGTTGAGGATGAAATTGTCCAGTCATTACAGCACCAATCAACGTTCATGTCCCACTCATATCACATCTCTCCTCAAAAATCCAAACTGCCAGATCCCTCTGATGTGAACCATTTTACTACACAAATTTAAAATAAACAGTGCACCAATCACATTTTGTTACAGTACAAAGTCTTATTTAAACAGTGTATTGACTACAGTTACATTTGACTTGATTGGGGGACAACTTGTTTGAATCTTACATGTATGATGACTGGAATTTTCTTTGTCTAAATTAAATTTGAAAGGAGAGGGGAGTTTAGTGGGTGTTGAGGTGTTTGAATGTAATGACCCCCGCCTCCTCAACCCAACACCCTTCCCTCACCCAGTACATGGATTGCCATCAATCTATCCAATACTTACCGACTTCGTGGTGTTTATGAAACCCCGGCTTCGTTGTGGCTTCCGCTTCATCTCTGGCACTAGATTCCTAAGAATCCTACCACATTCAAACTCAGTGAAAATGCACCAACCATCCATTGGCCTTGTGGGCCAGGATTTGGTGTCTCTGAAGAAGAAAATGGACCAATATTGTACTGGAGTTACATCAGGGGACAACAATCATGCAGCCTGAGGCCAAAGCCAGGGGAAAAGCCAAGATTTCATAAACACAATTAAGACTGTTAAATTGTTCCTGGTGGAACTTGCTGTATATATTCTGCTATCTTTTATAACAAAGCTTTGAGAAATGTTTAGGATCATTTCGTTCTTGAAATTTAACATTCTTAACATTTATTTTGAAAATTCATAACTTTACAAATGCTTTACTCAGTTCAATTTTGTATTAGGATTAGTGTTCAAGATAATGCATTACTCAGTTCAAATACGTGCATATTAGTGTTCAAGATGAGCCTTTATTCACTCTGTTAGTTTTTTGTTACTATGTTGCTGTTGGCATCTGCCAATTCAATTTATAAAACACTACTCTTCTTGTAAATTGACTTGTCTAAATGTATCCTAAAGATGAGTGACAAAGCTCATTCTATTAATGTGGTTTCAGATCTTCATTCACAGAATGGAGAATTGTGTTGACAGTGTTCATGAGGTTTATATCTTGACCTCATCAGAGGCTTTTAATGGTATAAGCCAAAGCTGGAGACAAAGCCAAGATTTTGTAAACTCCCTGAGATTCTGAAATGTGTTCCAAATGGAATCTACATGTAATCCATTATTGCACATGTACTTTTGTTAATAGCACTTTTGAGACAGTAAATCCACTTCATCCTTGAGAAGCAACCATACTACAAGTAGTTTGTGAAATAATATTGTTTAAAATTTATTTTAAGCATACGCATCACCACGATAGTTAGTACTCATTACTGTTCAATATAAGCATTAACAATAAACATGTACTTACTCAGTTGTTATGTTACTTTTTGCAGTTTCTGTTTACATATCTGAATTTACGATACACTTACATATTTATATTGAAGATAATTTACACACTGAAATGTTTGCTTTTAAAGATGAGTGAAAATTAATTTGGTTTCCTGTCTTAATTCACAGAATTAAAACCCATGTTTATCAGAATGTTTTTATCTTGATTTACAATTTTGTTTACATTTGAAAGATTAGAAATTAATTTGACTGAAGCTGAATTTCAGAAAGCTATATGGCCTTAGTTGCCTTGATTTTGGCCTAACTGCCACCTTGAAAAGGTTCCACACAAATACAGTGTAGCAAATTTCTAATCCAAGGTTTTTTCCTTTAAAAACCAAATAGAATTCCTCGTCTTTTCAAGAATTTAACTGCACACCGCTGTTTTTCATTGTTTTGCATATTTGGTTGCCGTTTCAAAAAACTTGAAAATGAAAAAAAGAACATCATCACTTCAGTTTGCGTTTCAGCAAAAATTATTGATTTGTTTGCAAAGTATCAATCTTATTGTAAAAATTAAATGTTCAAGTAGACTTTTAAGTGTTCAATAATTCACCACTGTATGTAGATCTTAGTAGTCACAACAAGACTCTGTAAACTCCCTTTATGTATATTCTTCAATTGGTTCCTAATAGAACATACATCTACTCATTGTATACTGTGTTATCTCTACATTACATTTTCTGATAATGGAAATTACAGCCTGTACAATATCAATTATTCTGTATTTCTGTTAACTTCACTTTTTAAAGCCATGTAAGATCATTTGCAATTACCCAGATAAGTACCTACCGATTTAATGACAGAAACCTCACAGTGAAGATAGGACTGGTAACAAATACCCTGTGAAATAATTCCACATGAAATGGTATTGTCAGAAAACAAACATTGAAGGTGGTTTCAAAATGGGGTGCCTACAGAATCCAGTTAGGAGATCCAAAGACTTGTGCATTATGTTTTCTCTGTTTTCTCCAAAATGTATAGTAGCCACTCAGCTAAGACTTGAACAGAATGCTTGTTATGCACCATACTTAAAATATTGAGCACTAGCTTTTGTTGCTTCGGGAAAAAAACCTGCAAAAAGCAAATAATGATACCTTTAAGCATGTACATCACAATGAAAGTTAATCAAGATTACTTTAAAAATTAGTCCTTTTTTAAAATTCATTCAGTTTCTTTAAAAAAAGTTTTGGTAATATTTTTGTTTCATTTTGTAGTTTTTCATAGAAATCATGTTTATTGTTATTATTTACAAGCTTTGTACATTTGCATTTATATCAATGAAACACTAATGTGGATGATCATTTAATCATCAAAATGTCTGCTAAAGATGAGCACAAATACTTATCCTATTAATTTGGTTTCCTGTCGGAATTCACAGAATAAAGACTTGTGTAACCTTTACTCACAAGGGATTATCTTGATGGAAATTTTTGTTATTTTTCTTTGAAGGTTAAAAATTATTCAAGTGTGAAAGGTTGCCAATCATGTTAACAAATCCTCAAATCAATGGTATTGAATTTCAGGAAGCTATGGCCTCCGTTGCCTTGATTTTGGCCTGACTGCCTCCTTGAAATGTCCTTGCCTTTTCAAGAGTTAAATTCCAGACCTCTGTTTTGATTGTTTTACTTATTTGTTTGCAATTTCAGCAAACTTCAAAGCAATGAAAGAATTACCCCCTCATACAGTTGGAGTTTGAGCAGAAATAACGTCATTCATTTATTCAGAATAAGAACTCACTCACCACTCTTTGTAGTTCTTTGTAGTCACTCTATTCTTGATCTAAAATTTAAAAAGAGAAATCATGTTTGAAATAACTATATTGTTATTCCACTTGGAACCCTCTACCCCAAAGAAACCCACAAAGTAAAGTCTCCTGAATCCAACAGAATCCCACAACTCAGATGAGCCATACAACAGAAATGGACTACTGTGGAATTAGCTTGAAACTATCACATGTGGTTGAATGTGTGAATAACTTAATTTTTCCCAAGTTTCGGCAATTACCAAATTTCCACTTATTATTTCTGGATTACCTTCGTTTGATACATGAATACGCAGACAATTTTATGAGTGGATTCCAGCCGGCCAAATAAATTCCAGATTTCTTGGACCAGTCTGCAAGTCTTCATAGCTGCACGACAAGGTCAATGGTTTCACCTTTTCACCTGATCCCCAACAGTAAAAGTTGCACAGCGCCCTCTTTTGACGATGGCTCTCCCTCCCTTAATTATTGAGTGTCTGTGATTTTTCTGCATTTATGATATTAAAAACTGATGATATAAATAAGAAAATTATTGCCTCTTTGGCCATTTTTCATCGAAATTCTAACACATTTCTTTCAGAATCTGTTCTGTGAAAAGGATTTTAAAAATCACTTTTTCATTTCCCTACAAATTAACTTTGGCTGTACCTTGCAATTTGCCAGCTGGAACCCTGACCATGCAATACGGTCTGTGTTAGTCATCTTCACTTGATGACTAATATGGGTCATTCTAGACATTGAGGGTCCCAAGTGTGACATCATTCCTGTGCCTGTGACCTCTGACCTTTGTAATGTGCCATTCAAGTATCATTACAAATGACTTCCATTGTTGATTTGTTGGGTGGGTAGTTTGCTTACATAATCACTCTTGAAACCTGACTGCATTAAGGAGTGCAGGCAGAATACAAACCAACATACATGTCAGGTGTAACACGGACAGGAAAAGAAATGTTATTTTCTTTAATTTATTGAATGCCCCATATGCATGTATTGATGAATGGGATTCCATTTTGTTTCTTTTTAACTTTTCAACGGACCATCCACCCCGACATTTTCCCTTTTTTATTTTGAAAGGAAACAAAGATGCCAGCTCCTCAAAGCTGCTATAATGAGCGCCAATTCTGTTTTTTTTTTACATGATTATAGTCTAGCAGGCCAGATCATGCCACATTGAATGTAGTGCTACCTATTGTGTGATATGTGTCCAAAATTTTGCTTATTGAACAGCGCCCCCAATAGTAAGATGGTGTTCAGCCCATAACTAACCCCCCCCCCCCAACATCAAAACAAATGTGAGACTTCACAAATTAAACAAATTATTCATATTTTCTTCATTGTTTGGTTTAAGTATAAATAACTTGGTCTCAGAGTTGGAGGTCTGGACTAATGTTGTGCATCGGGTCGGGCTGAGCAAGCCGATCCCACCTGAAACATTATAGGTATAAACAATAATCTGAACCAAAACCGATCTGAACTCTCAAAATCTGACCTGACCTGACCCGACCCAACGCGACAAAAATTTAGGAAAAAAACGACCCCAACTGACCAAAGTCAGTTTTGGTTTGGGTCAGTTTGGGGTCGCGTTTGCACAATATTTGTCTGGACTACATCACTGCATGCATCAGGGGCAGAGCTAGCTTGCTGGAAATGCATGGAGATGGGAGGGGGATATTTATGTTCATTATGCCCCTGCAATAGGGGGTCTAGGGGCATGCCCCTTCCTGATTCCAAGGCAATTTGAGAATAACTTTAGGAAGTTTTGGTCAAATTCTGGTATTCTTGGCCCTATTTTTTATACTAGTATCATAACATTTTCAGTGACCGAATGGGGGCTAAGGGGGAGTTTTACCCCCTCCCCCTTTAGATCCACTACTGTGCATCATCCCCTGATTACATTCCTCAATAACTGACTTCAGTTGTACTTACATGAGATTGT